CATGATTCATTCGATTTGTAACTAGACATGTTTTGTAAAAAATTTAATTGCAAACATTTTTTTCCTCTTCCATTTTCGCCTAAAATCAACTCTTGAAAAGATACATAATTAAATAGGAAGAAAAATATGACATTTTTCGAATTTTTTTTACATATTGTGCCGCCAAAAGTTAAGCCCACGTTTTTTTTATGCGCATAGAAAAATTTTCATTTCTAGTGATATTTGAAAGCCAAAAAGCCAAAAATCTCCGTAGATATACGATTCACCCAAATATGGCTTTTTGAAACAGATACCGTCTGGACTAGTATTCTAATTTTACTTGCTTCAAACTGACATTGTAATTAACTGTCAACGAAATTGTGAAAAAAATCCGAGTAATTTTTCGTTTGTGAAACAAATATGGACGAAGAAGATTCTAGTTCAGAAGACAGTGATACTGTTTTATTACAAACAAATGATAATGAAATTCATGTAGAAGAAGTTAAACTGACACAGTCAGCTACTAACCCACCACTGTCAACTTTTACTAAAAGCGTTATAAGATGTATTTTAACTGAATGTCTGGATCAGTTATATATTTTAAGAAATATTAACACTCAAGACAATGCGAATTTCGTTCATATGTCTGTAGACTACGTCAGCATAGCAGAAAGGTATGTAAAATGCACTTGCAAGTAAACGGGAAAGTAAATAATAAAAAAATTAATTACAGGACGTTTTGCAGATGCATTTCAATTGCAGTTCAATTGCAAACAATTTCAGTTTTATTTAGAATATAAAATTTTTTTGCGAATACTTGAATAATTACTTACTTTGGAAGGTTATTTTTTCATCTTAACATCAGTTTTAAGAGCAGCAACATATTTTCTCAATTCATACAATAAGGCAGTGGCGGCACTTTGACATTTTTACTGGGTATGTAGCTTTTAACACTTTTCTCTTTCGCAGGATTTGAGGTGCCAGTATTTCAATGGCGCCAATCCGATGATTTCTGAGAGATACGAAATTACTGCCAATTTAATATAATTTTGGTTAAAATAATAATTTATTCTCATTGCACCGATCTTTGATGAAAGTGTGAATTTAGTCGTCTGTTTCTGCAATCTGTTTCGGTTATAATTTCGGTCGTTCTGCAACTCTCCAGTTTTTATGGAGATGCCAAGATGGTATTTAGTGTTGCTTCAGAATAACAATTTTCTTCAATTGCTATAATTCAAGGGATATCTTTGGGTTGAACTTACTGTTTTTTTAAGGTACATGGGAGTGGAAAGTCATGCTGACTACCGTATTAATTATTTAATCGATAATTATGAAAAACTGGCGCGGGATATTCATCGATTAATCCAAGTTCTGAAGGATACCCAAGACGATGTACATGTGAATGGCAAATTTGATACTCTGAGGAGCGCAGTCGATGCGATGAGACAAATGCGGCAGGACGAGAGAAAACTGTTTGAAGAGAAGGAGGCGAACGATAAATACATAATAGAGTTAAGAAAGCTGTGTGAAGATGAATTTTTGAAAAATATTCGTGTCATAGAGGAAACTAACGCCAAAATTCAGAAACTTAGGTTCGAAGTAGAAGATTTACATGGTATATTCTAGTTTATGTTAAATATCAAATTTAAATGTCTCATTCACGCTTTGTTCATAAAATTTAAAAAGACTAAGTAGTAGTACCTGTCAATCAACTTTAAATAATAGCCACTGCACAACTCGTTTATTTTTTTACAGTTTAGTGTCCGTTTCTTTATGACGTGATATATCTCATAATCAATAAAGGAACATCATACCAACATTTTATATATTTCAGTGTATAAAAAGTATGAACTCAACTATTTTGAAGATTGGGAGAGAGCTAGAAGAGAACAGAACGAAATGAGTTGCGAGAAGAGCGAACAATATTATCAGAAAATTATAGAAGATACAAGGAATAAAATATATTCAGAGAATAGATGCCATTCGGAATTTGAAAGTTATATTGAAGAGAGTAAAAACGTAATCAATTTTAAAATTAACTTGGTTAAACGTTCAAAGGCAAAATATTTTCCACAATAGATGTCGGTAGAAGTGATAGTCTCAAAATTGTTTATCTCTAATGTTTTATGCGGGTACAAAGTATGTTCATTTTATTTTTTAAATTAATATTGCTGAATGCACCCATTGTATTTCGACCACAACATTACTTGGTACCACTCGCGCTTCTTGTCTTGTCTGTATTTGTCGCGTATTTAAAAAGTATCAGTTTTTGTTATTTAGGATTGTTTGGAAGAGATTCAGTTCTGGATGAGACACTACGACGAAGAAACTGAACGACGTGAAACTGAGATGATAAATCTTAAAGCTAGCTTGGAAAAATTGGTTGAAGATCACATCGAACTAAAGCAGACATATGAGGCCCGCAAAGCTGAAATGGAGGACTGGTTAATTTACAAGAAACTCAAACAAGAAAAAGAGGACTTTCAGGCCCTTCAGGTTTGGGCAGCCACAAAAATACAGGTAGGGATAATGAATTACTATCATCAGATTTGTTACTATTATTTAGTATATAGTTAATGAAGTAAAATAACCATCCCTTAAGATTTGTAGGATTTCGTTATTTTAACAAATTCAGTGAGTTAGTTGTTTCACCAGTAAGAATTATTTTGTACAACTGTTCTAACTTCTTGGTGATGAACCTTGTAATGTTGTATTGCTTTTATCTTAAATCTTCTCTCTGTTCTCAAAAAAGTCTTGTTTTGGTGTACTGAGTTTGAATATATTACCATAAATCAAGTAAAATAACTAAAAAAATTATAAATAAAACTTTAATTGAAATATAGTATCTCAAAAACGAAGCATGTATACTTCATATGAGCTTGTTTTCTTATTTTCGATTAAAGAATCTACTGTATACTTTTGTAGACAGAATAATCCACGGGCCCACGTACAAAAAAATTAATGATTACCAGCAAGCTGTAACTTTGCGTGCAGCTTAACTTTGACAACTCTCCCAAGATTTGACTATGAGGAAAATTCAACAGTGGTAAGTTTTCCCGTGATTTTCAGGAAAACATGTCAATCTGGCATAAACATGGAATGTTATGACCAGCACTTTTTTTTTAAGTATAAATGAGATATATTTTTTTTAAACTCCCCAAAAAATTTGTCCGACAAAAATTTTGGTATTTTAAGTTTATCCCCCACCCCAAATATGTCAATTTGGTGACATTATGGTTAGTGACAACCAGCAAGCTAATTTTTCTGGGAGGGTTTGGTAATAAGATTTGAAATGAAAGTATCTTATTGTCCGACAAAATTCTTGAGAAGTGTTTGCAGTGCGACGCTCCGAAGATGTCGATTTAACGACAACATGGTTGGTGATAACCAGCTGTCGGACAAAAGCGTAATTTAAAAAAAAATACAATATTAATCTGAGAATTTAATTGTCCGACAAAAATATCGGTTTTTTCTTGCTTGTTCGACAAAATTAAACGATAAAATTTTGCGGTTTCAATACTTACACATGATGTAGAAGAAACATTTATATTTAATAAAAAAAATATGTGAATAAAAAAAAATTGTTTAAACTTCTCAAATTTCAAAATAAATATGACTAAATTCATTTTTTTATACAATTACAAAAAATTTTATACATTTATTTTCGGTTGTACCCCTCCAATTACCTGCATCGGTATAAACTGTTTGTCGAAACAGGATTGCAAATTTTAATTTAAAAAGACACAAGCAAAAAAATTATGCATTCATATTACAGTTACCATTTTCTATAAAATAATTACAATAGTTTATAAAATAAAATGTACATATAAGTTTTTTGAACAAAGAAAACATTTTGACATTAATTAAATTAATTTTTATAGACATAATTATTTATGAATTTCTGTTGCTCCTGTCAACAAGATAATTTTCTTATTTATTCTTCTTTATTTTTTCATTAAAAATTAATTATTTTATAGCGGAATGAACATTAGGTACCACAAAAATAGTTATCTTTCCCATTTTTAAGGCAAATTTTCCAATCTTTTTGGAGGACAAGTGTATTATTGTTATACAATTCAATTATTAGAGAAAAAAATCAAAACCAGATTGCTGGTTATCACCAACCATGTTGTCGTTAAATCGACATCTTCGGAGCGTCGGACTGCAAAAACTTCTCAAGAATTTTGTCGGACAATAAGATACTTTCATTTCAAATCTTATTACCAAACCCTCCCAGAAAAATCAGTTTGCTGGTTGTCACCAACCATAATGTCACCAAATCGACATATTTGGGGTGGGGGACAAACTTAAAATACCAACATTTTTGTCGGACAAATTTTTTGGGGGGGTTTAAAAATATATATCTTTCATTTAATCTTAAAAAAAGTGCTGATCATAACATTCCATGTCTATGCCAGATTGACATGTTTTCCTGAAAATCACGAGAAAACTTACCACTGGAATTTTCCTCATAGTCAAATCTTGGGAGACTCGTCAAACTTAAGCTGCACGCAAAGTTACAACTTGCTGGAAATCATTTTTCTTTTTGTACGTGGGCCCGTGTACTAGAATATTACATAAGATCAGCATTAAAATTTTATGAAAAATTAAGTATTTTTTCCTTTATTGAGGTATAATATATATTTTTCAACTAATTTGATTTTTCTTTTAATTTTGTAGGCCTGGTGGAGAGGTGTTATGTTCAGAAAGAAATTAGGGCCATATAGTAAGAAAAAGAAGGGAAAAGACATGAACAAGGGCAAAAAGGGGAAGAAGAAATAAATTATATAACAATGGCCAATCAATATCAGGAATAACAAATTATTTGGGTACTTATTTTTACTTGATAAATTTATATCAAAAATACTTATATTTTTCGATTAAATTTAGTAAACTACAGTAATCATTTTAATAAATTTAGTTTTCTCTTTAAAAAATGTTTTCATGATTATTCAATTTGTGTGGCTAACATTCGATTTCACCAAAGCAAATTGTAAAAAAAAACTATTATACCATCAAAAATTTGTATTGTAATTTTAGCAAGACTGTTTTCGAATTTCTGGTTTTGTATAACGTATCAAAGATTCTATAGCGCGTTCCTGTTTTTTACCGTTTCGCTGTTTCACAACTAACAGGAACAGAAATGAAGATCAGCGAGGGCCTAGGGGTGCGCTCCCACAATGCCTAGCCCGAGAACAACAAGGGCAGGTAAAAAATTCCTAACTAAAGCTAAAGAACCATATTAAGATTACAGTAAGGCAAACACTAACAGTACTATTAAAATTTATTTACATCACTACGTGAACTGCAATTATTTTTATAATTTTAAATATTAATATAATTTTTCTAATTTATTATCCCACAAGAGATAGTTTTATAGTTTTCCTGAATGAAATTAGAAAATTGAGAATTCTAATTAAAGTTTTAGCGAATTGATGCTGATAATTTTAATTATTCCACGAAATGAATTGCGTTATAACAGATTCCTCGTTCTGATCTACTGGTAGTCGTTCCCTTTCACTTTCAACATGTGCAGCAGATAGTTGCATTCCTGGGAATCTAGTTTACCCTCATCCTTCATTCTCAAGAGCGCCGCTAGGATGAGCTTGTGTGTATTTTTCATCTGCTCGCACAGGTTCTGTTCCGTTTCGCACCTCCGTTGCGTTTCGTGTAATCTTAAAGTCATCTCTGATCTAAAAAATATCCTGTTAAAGTGGAAGGATACTTGACACTCCTAAGCATACTTTTGAAACTCTAATCCGGTAATCTGCTGCTGGAGTTTTGTAATATTCTCCTTGAGCTCGAGTATTAGTTCATGATTTTCTCTGGATTCCTTTTGGAGAAGTTCCACATGTTCCTAAAAATAGTACACACTTATAAAAGTTGGCCTTAATTTTGTTACCTTTGTGTAGAATAGAACTCGGTGACAAACAATCTTTTAATTTTTTTTCAAATATATTCACATCACATGTCTGTACGTAAGGTAACAGAGTTTTGAATATTAAAAAATACAATCGTTTATTGTTTTCGTAGGTTTCATTATAAAATTTTGATGTCCACCGCATTGGTGATGAGTCTGGAGATAGAGGAGTATACAGGGTGATAGAAGTTTGACTGCCTTAATTTTAATGGACGATATAAATAACATTAAAATACATACATAAAAAAGTCGATTAATTAAGGAATATAACTGAGTACATTGAATACCGTAAAATACAATGTTTATTATTTTTTTGAACTTCTTTATGCTTAATTCTAAAAAATAATTAGCACTGTAATAAATTTAAAATTCGATAAAATTCATATCGGGCAATGTGACAACAGCGCGGGGATTTATTAACACGAGGTGTCCAGCAACCACCAATACTCAATTCAGTTGGTATCTGGATTCGACCGTATCGGAGTGTTTTTTTGCGTACCACTATTTCCTTTTATTGAGGAAAATATTTGAGTCAACGTTTTAATTCATATTTTTTTCACGCTTACCTTTAAATATGTATCTGAAACAGAGTCAGTCGAAACACCCAACTCGAGGCCTCTAAGCTGAAAGAGAAGAAGAAAATCCAGTATATTTAAGGCAAATAATAATAAGTTTTTAATAAGAAATTTTGTAAGCAGTAAAATAATATAAGTTTAACGTTATTGTTATTTTTTCTTTCAAAGAAATGTATAGGAATTGTTTACAAGATATCAATTGTATTTCAAGAATTTATTAATTTTATGTGTATACAGGGTGTAACAAAAATAAGATTACAAACTTCGCCATCAGATAGAACACTTAAAATTAGTAGGGGGTACTCTATATAAAATTTTTGCCTAAAGTGCTTTCTTGGTAAGATACATGGTATTATATTGCAAAATAAATAACATTTCTTTAACGTCTTTCGATTACTTCGAAACAATGGAGTTGAAAATAACTTTTAAAGAAATCTTTTATGCGACGAAATCGTCGATAAATTAGAATTTCTCATCTCAAAAAAACCCTGGATACGAAATTTCACGAAATTAGCTCGAAATAATCGAAAGATATTAAAGAAAGTGTTATATATTTTTTCAACTTCAACACCCTGTATCTCATCAAGGAAGCCTTTTAGGCAAAAATTTTATATGAAGTAGGTACCCCTACTAATTTTAAATATTCTATCTACTGGCAAAGTTATTTCTAACCTTATTTTTGTTACACCCTGTATACGTATCTACTATACTTATTTATGTATTGCATAGAGCTGTAATAATGAAGTAGGTAATATAATAAATGTTATATCATATTATCTGCTGCGATTAATTTTGTTCTCTTTTTTATTTATTTAAGTATTTGTGCGACACTGAAATACAACTGATTGCTACTTCGATTTCATTTTGGAAATGATACTTAAAATAACAAATTTGTATAGTATAAGGTATAAAAGCCATAATAAACACCCTGTTTAATTGAAAACGTCAGATGCACTACCAAAATTAGTGCAATTTGTGTGTGAGACTTCTTAAATCAAAGAAAAGTAAGATTTAAATGTAACAAAACGAGTTATAAATGTTTTTATAAAAGTAACACACGGGACACTTCTATCGGTAGATAGAGATGGCAAGTAGGTACTAATATTAATTTCCAAATATGCATATAATAATTGTATTTAAAAATATTAAATATTTTGAGTCCGGTCCTGTACATTTTCGGTGTCACGATGTCGATAACAAAGTTTAGAAAAAAAGATGAGTTTTTGTAAGGTTGTAGGCAGTAGGCGGTTGAACAGCTTACGTCGATTTAATCGTACTAGACGCGTGAATTTTGAAGTATTGGTTGTTTTAGTTTAATTTGTTTTATTATCAGTGTTTAGTGGTTTATTATTTATAATTATAAGTTAATGACAGTTTATTCATTGTGACAGTGTGACTTTTCATGATAAGATTTGTGGTGGATGGAGCGGTAATATTTAGTTTGGTGGCTACATAATCTAATTTTATTTGGTAATGGTAGGAACAGGTGAGTTTTTACATAATTTTAATCGATGATGTTTTATTAATGTATTTTGATTTACTGTAATTATTTAATATGTATTAAGTACTAATATAACAATTCGTTATCTATTAAAAATGCTTTGGATAATAATTCCGCAAAGGTTTAATAATACAAAAATTGGAAAATAAAATAGTTTTAGGTATATTATTCACGAATATGGAGAGTAATATTCTCTTTTTGTTGCAATATACTTCTTTATCATTACGATATTTGAAAGGAATAAAATGCAGATTGCAGAACAGAATAATACAGTCAGAAGCACAATTGAACAACACTTTATAATTTTCTTTTGTACAAAATGGTATATTGGCAGTATATTAGAAACTTTTTAGCTGTAGCCATTCATTTGTTTAATTTCCGGTTCATCCGGACATTAATTGCATGAGTTTTATGAATAACCGCGAGTACTGTAGTTGCATTACATAGGATTTTTAATTACTAACTCACAGTACACAGGGTGATTCACAAATGGTGACCAAAAATGAAACGTATTTTTTGGTGAATTTTAAGGGGAGTCTTTCCTTTAAAGTTTTTATCTAGGACGCTTCGTTAAACAGATACAGGATGTTAAAATATTTTTAATTTTTTTAAATAATTTAATAATTTGAAATTGGGCACATATATTTATGTAAACATTGTCCAAAATCAGAGGATTAACTTAAAAAACCAACTGAAAACATTTTTACTTAAATGATATGACAAGCACTAATCATATGGTTATTTATTCGAATAAAGAAATTAATAACATTAGTCATCATTTTAATGATGTTATTTGAGTAAATGTTTAAAAATACTTCCATTTGCACGAACACAGGCGCGACATCTATTTAGTACAAAAATGTAATTTGTTCGAAATTTAATCTGATGAAAAGCATTATTTATCCTTTCTCCTAACTGCTCCAGTGTATTAATTTCCTCACTGTATACCAGCCGTTTAACAGCACCCCACAAAAAGAAATCCAGTGGGTTTAGGTCCGGTGGTTTCAGTTCGTTTTTTTAAGTTTTATTCGGAAATCAGGCTTTTTTTGAAAAACATAAGAGAGTAGTAATTTGTAGAAAATTGAAAAACGAACATGTCATGATTGTTACCGTAAAACAGTGGCGTACTATTTTATTTAGAAAAGTTTTCCACCGATACCCTGCATCTCTGCCATTAGAGCATCTAAATTTTGGAAAAAGGCCTCAGATTTTGGACAATGTTTATATAAATACATGTCCCCAATTTCAAATTATTTCTAGTTTTTAAATTATTCAAAAAAATTTAAGGATATTTTTTGAAGATTAACACCTTGTATCTTTTTAATGAAGCGTCCTACATAAAAACTTTATAGGAAAGGCTCCCCTTAAAATTGTGAATCACCCTGTATGTATAATATACCATACGTTCGATATTTTATAAGCCAAATAATCAACACTTTCATAAATTGGAAAGTGTGGCAATTGTTATCTTGTAGATGAAAATGTATTTACAACATTAATGTGTCCAATCTTTAAACAATTGTTTAAATTTTTCGTAGCTTGTTTGATATTTAGAAATATTTGGTTTTGCAAATATTTCTATTTTTTTTTCGCTTAAAAGTGACAAAACTATGACACTAATATCGTTGGATTCAGAATGAAAAATTATAGGTATGCAATGCAGTTAAATATATACGAGGTTAATAGTAAATGAGTGCCTGCGAAATAATTTAAAGTATTTTTTGATAATAAATAAATCTGAAACGGTAATCGGTATGATTTAACTGTCCGTACCGATTAAATCGGCGGATTAATCTATCAGTGTAAGGTCGGCTAAATACATACCTGATGTTCAAGTGTGAGACACTTCTTCAGTAAATCATTGTATTTTCCTTGTAAATCATCCAATGAGCCTTGAGTAATGCTTTTCTCCTGTGACAGAGTATTTATCCTGTTTTTTTCATCGTTTAACCCATCCAGTAGAATATTGATTTGATTCTGCAAATCTTCCTAAAATTGTAATTATTTTTTTTATTTAATAATCTGCTTTACTTTATTGTGACTAGTAATAAAATAAGGTACCTACTTATTTTTAACAAAAATATAAAGAACTTATTTATTTATCAAAGCTTTGATGCATTTTCCATTTTACTATTAAGGAAAAATATTTAAGCATTTTCAACTTCTAAATTATTGGGAAGAGCAGAACTCTTTTATTTTAACTAGGTCATGGCCAACTATGGTTTGTAAAGTACCCAGTAGGTATAGTTCTTGTTCTGAATATTTATTGATTACTGCTGTTTATTAATCAGACGTTAGTTTTTAGATTAATTTAAGCAAATTTCACTTCCTAGGGAAAACTTAGGTAACGAAATAAACTGGAGGTTTGCACACTCCCTTTTATGTACGCTCTTATAAACAACAGTTGAATAAATGAATAAAATAATAAATTAAGGAATTTACACACCTTCTCTACCGTCATATGGTCAAGACAATGCATAGTTTCCTTTAATTTTGTTTCCACCTCTTGCCTAGCCGTTTTCTCTTCAGCAAAATTCTTTACGCTTTTAAGGAATTTGCCGGAAATTTCTTTATGTATTTCTGATAGTGTTGCATACGCAGACCGTTCATTTTCCAGCTTCTGAGACACATCCTTCAAATTAGCTTTTAGATCACATATTATCTTTTCGTTAGATTCCATTATTTTCTCATGTTTCCTAACATATACGTATATAACATTATTTTTCCTTCACGTTGTGTTAATGTGTTTAAGAATATGTATTTCGGATTACTTAAATGTTATAATAAAAGTATCTTCTTTTCAAAATATAGTGTCTAAGTTATCATTAAAAATTAAAAACATATTTTAAATTCTGAAAATGCTTTTCAGGGACTCTCACTGAAATGTGGAATATAACATTTACTCGTATATAGTACATATACCGCATGATGGAGATGTGCTAATTCTTTTTTCTCAGAAATGTACCCCTGTTTTATTGCCACTGGAAAACATTTTTCTATTTATAATTTTTTTTGTACTCTCAACTGGTTTCGAAATATTAACAGTTGAAAATTACTTTCCTGAAATATCTATCCGCCCTTTTTTCTTCACGATCAACGTATTTAATATCACTTTGCAGAATAAACCAAATTTATCTGACAAAATGCAAACATCATTGATGTGATGCAAATTTTGAGCCATTATAAATATTTGTGTCTGTTTTTCGTACATCAAGGCCGGGAATCACAGGAAAGTGGTTTTGAACTCTCGTCTTGAAAACAGTTGAAAGTATAAAAAACACTAAATAGAAAAAAGTTCCCTACTGTTTTCTTGAATCAGGAGTTGCCTCATTTTATTATTTCCACTCTTGTAAAACTAAGCTTGGTTTAAGAGATATTGCAACTTTTTTTGGATAGGTATGTGAAATTGACCCACATTGAATTTTTCGATTTTTTTTATATAAACTTTAAAAAAATATTCCGTATAAACTTTTTTTAATTTAAATTTTGACACGTTATAAATCACGTTATTTTCCTCCGTCTCTGGTTAACAGCTTCACCTACTTTTTGTAACACCCTGTATAGTGCGATATGAATTAGTTAATTTCAGTCATATTATTTTATAACATGAAAGTTGTTAACAAACTATTTAAATACAATGGGGGTGAAAATATTTTTGTTGATTTTATTGACATCATAATGATTATTTCACCTCGTTACTTCATCCAAATGACTCTTGTAAATGAAATAATCCTCTTCTTTTTGTTCTTTAAGGTGTTTCAGTTCCTTCTGCATAAATTCAATTTCCCTCCTAACGTCTTCTAGCAACCTTTTCGAGGAATCGTGTTCGATTCGTAAATTTCTTATTTCGTTTTCTAGCTGCTGTTTCTTGTATTCAATGTCTCTTAGTTCCCTAAAAGTAGGTATATCAAGTTTATTTCAAATTACTTAAATCGGATTTTGCCAACGTACTGATTTTGGTTTTCAAATGATTTGACCGAATTTTTAAATTTGTCCTCCATATCCTTTAACTCCTTAATTTCCGACATAAGTTTTTCTATTTCACCCTGTTTCAGAAATATGGTCTAAAACAAAACAGAACAATATATTTGAAACAGATTACATTTTATGCGAAAATTTATGATAAGTTCTATTGTTTCATTAATGAAAGTTTATTTATTTATGACTTGCAAGTAAGTATGAGGGCAGTTTATCGTGAAAAACTTTTGTACCTACCTCTGTGAGATGATCAATTTCTCTTGCGTTGCTGATTATTATCAATTTTGATTCATTAATTTCCTTTTTAAACATTTCTTCTTTTTCCACTGATGACTTAATGCTGGCCTCGAAATCTGCAATCACAATTTCCGGTTTAATTTACGCATTTGGGTAAAGTAAAATATGACAGACCACTCAGAACTTTTTCACAGAGTCCATTTAAATAATTTACTTCACTAATTAATTTTTCCTTATCTTCTCCTAATTCCGTGATATTATCTTGCAGCTCATCTCTCTCCAACATAGCTTTCTTTAGCAAGTCTTTGGTTTCCTCCAAAATAAAATAAGTGTTACCTATGCATAGTTTTATATATAAAAATACCAATGTATTACCTTTTCCCGTTTTCTAGATTCGTCGAGGTCGTAATGTAGCCTTTTTGTGTTATTTTGAAGATATTTTACTGAATTATCTAGTTCCTCTTTTTCGTTTCTTAACTAAAATATAGTAATTATAAATTATTTCCTCCCTACAGAACTTCAAAACGCTGATACTAACATAAGTTTAGATTAAAAAGTTTCAGTACCTTTTTAAATTCATCGCCTTGTATATTAAAACCCAGCGATTTTGAAGCCTTAGAAATAGTAGAATTGACATAAAAAATAGTTTAAATAATGGTACCCACTTGTTTTATTAATTTTTCCAACTGTTTTGTATTCACTTCATATCTGTTCACTTCGACATTCAATTTTTCATGCAGAGAATTTACGGCAGCAACACTATCTTTTTCCTTAGCAAGCAGCTTGGCAACTTGCAAGTCCTTTTCGTGTTTCACACTTGCGATGGTGTCACATTTTTTCACCTGCTGCTCGTAGGCGTTTCGAATATCATGTAGCTGTAAGAGAAATTGTTAGTAAACCACGAAACATACAACGCAATGGGAAGTTACCTCGCTCAGCAGCTTTTCGTTTTCATTTACGAGATTGTCTTTTTGGCTCATAAGTATCTTATAATCCCGAACTAGGTCCCTTAAAGCTGATCGTTCGTTTCTCTGGATCTCTTCGTATTTCTTTAACTGTAATGATTTTTAGGTATTCACCGAGTGCAAAGCAGTTGTCCGTGCCGCGAAAGGAATAATTAGAAGGAATACAATACAATAATAAACAAATAATTATGACTGGAAATCGAATGAGCCAGTTATTTTATTCATTTATTTTATTGTAGTTTCAAAGGCTGCTATGATCAGTGTTTTCGTATGTATTTTGGCACCCCTAAATATCATTTTATTATAAGAAATATAAAAAAATAAAGTTTATACAAAAGTTTTATTACTGTAGATGTTTGTGGATAATTTATTGTTCTAATAACTACAATTTTAAGGCATTCATGGGGCTATTTCTAATGTAAAAATAATGAGATATTACTTTGATGCTAAACTGGCGAGCTTTCGACGGGCATATTATAGGTCCGTTCCAACAAGAGTCAGGGATTAGTTCCAAACCATTTGAAATGTTTGGCCAGCTAAGTTTTAAATGTGTCTTCAGTGAATATATCGCAAGAATTAGTTGGATGCACATTTCTGACGGTTCGGAACCAATCCCTAACTCATGTTGGAACAGACCTTATATCAAGTCTATAGGTCTTTGTCTGCGCGTCTCTTCACGGATTTTGATAAAGAAAAACTAATAGCTATAAGGTATGAAATGATTGTTAGCATGCGAGGAACAATATCCGGTAACTTTTTTGGCTTTTCATCGAAGTTGAATAATAAAAAAAGCCTTATAAACAAATATAACCAGCATTGTCGTTGAAATTTCATAACTTTCTAAGCTGCCATTAATTGTTAAATAAATTAATTAATTAATGGAACTTACCTATCTTGTAAAATAATGTTCAAGTTTTAAAATGAGATATCGTGCGTCTCAATTCGTCCAATAGAACCAGAGATGTGGTAAAATAGGTGCGCGCGGAGACGCAAAATGTAAGATATTTGCACTAAATTTGCAATAACTTTGGTTAAAGTTAATCTTTCTTTAATTTTCAAAAAAGTGTATGTTTGTTATGAGAAAACGTAACTATTAACGCTTACAAAATTGTACTAGCTACAAAAATAAATTTTTACAGCCATTTAAACATTTAATTTGTTAATAACAATTAAACTGACCACTTTCAGGCTTTGCGACCAAGTTTTTTGGATTCAGGAGATCAAAATACTTGAGATAAGTTGTTTGCAGCCGTGGCACTTTGATTGGCCACGGAACCCTATCTGGCTCTTAGACTAATAAGTATAATTAAATTGTAAATAAAATTAGTATTGTAACTAATAAAAATCATGTATAATGATATCAAAATCTGATTTATGCAGTTAATACACTATTCAATACACTTTCATATACAGCTTGTTCCGATTGTAGATATACGTTAACAAGTGAAATACAAATAAACATGAAAATGTTGAAATATTTGGAAGTTGTAAAACCTTCAAATTTAAGTCTGTTACGATGTTATTTAAATGTCAGATCTCAAATTCTATTAGCATATTTATACTAATTTGTATAACTTTGGAACAATTAGTAATGGAAAATAATAGTAGGATCAGTCAAGGGAAATAGAATATGTCTACAATTTTTTTTTATGTACCTGAGTGCTGGCAGACTCATAAATTTCTTTCTTTTTGTCATCCAAAGCTACGTTCTTCTGCATTTCCAATGAGAGAATGTTATTAAGCTGCTCCTTCATCTGGCAAACTTCTGAAAGTTCGTAACACAAAGACAGCTTCTCCTTCGTATTCTGGATTTGAATATCGTTCAATTTTTCAACACTCGACCTCAGTTGCAATATAGTTTGGTCCTTCACGTGTACTTCTGTCTTCAGTTTTTCTCCAATTTGTTTGTTGTATTCCGCAATTACCTTAAAAAAGTTGTATGGTAGTATCTATAAACCTACGATTATAGTTATAAGAATACACACTGCTAATTTGCTAGCCTCTTTACTAATATCCGCTACAGCGCATTCCAATTTTTGAACACGCGTAATTTCGGTTTTCATGTGTTGAAAAATAGTTTTTAACATGTTCTTTTCTTCCAGATACTTCATTCGTTCGTGCTGCAAAGCTACAATATAGTGTTAGTTTATTTAATATACAGTGTGTCCAACATAAGGATGGGATAGCATTAGGATCTAGGAAACGGTAAGATATACAGGGTGGCTCAAATTAGAAAAAAGTTGTGTTTTTTTATATCTAACATTATGCCGTTTAGAAAGTTTTAAAATTCCGCGTAGTTCCGAAATTTTGCAAAAATCGTTTAATTTTTTTTTTCTGGCTTTATTTGCAAACCAATTTTAAAATAAATTACATTGCATTGCCACTTTTTGTTTGTTGGATATTTTGTACTGTATTTGTAAAGCGTTCAGGGCTGTACTGAGGAAAAATTTTAAATGATAGCTAAAACTAGTCAAAATCCTTCTTAAGCGATTACAATAATATATAATCTAATTCAAAATTAAAAATGACTAGATTTTGTCATAAAAATAGCAGCGACGTATTTAAAAAAATTAAAGACGATACGTCGGATTGCAAATATGTTGACGCCATTGGAGAGAGCGAAAAAAGTGGAAATGTAAATATACAATTTATTTTAAAATTCTTTTTCAAATAAAGCCTGAAAAAAAAAATAAAACGATTTTGCAAAATTTCGGGTTTTTCCGGATATATCCGGAACTACCTGGAATTTTAAAACTTTCTAAACGGCATATTGTTAGGTATAAAAAACACAACTTTTTTCTAATTTGAGCCACCCCGTATCTCTTACCGTTTCCTAGATCCTAATGATACCCCATCCTTATCTTGGACACACTGTATAGTGCTTTGGAAAAACGGAGATACCATGATTAAAAAATAGTATTTTTTCCTATTGTCATTTGTTTTCAAAATACGCCACGTTAAAGTGAAATTTTTAAATAAGTTTTGCTAATATCTCCAAAAATAATGGAGAAATTCTAAATATATTTTGTAGGCTTTTATTTTGAGAGGTATTAAAGATGGAGGATTTTAATTTTTAAAGAAGTTGTAAAGGACTGCGGACCAGGAAAACTTTGTCACGATTTTTTTCATTCAAGAAACCTTTTAACCACAAATGTGAGCATTTCCCAAGCACAAAGTAGTTTAACTACTTTAATATAGTAATTTTTTTTATTCATTTAATTCTAATAAAATTTAACTAATTCTAATAAAATTTTAACCTCAAAATGGTTATGATGTAACGTTCTGTATAACTTATCAAAAAACTAATAACACCAGGCTATTTAAAACCTCTCAGAATATAATTCTACCAAATTTCATTATGATATTGATTACGTTTAAAGATTTGAGGGTAGAAAATGTTATGAAAAGAATAATTTTATCATGATATATCTTGAAAACAAAATATGATAAACCCAAGTTTTTAGGAAACAATTTTTTTTAATGTCCTATTGGTCAAGATACCCGCTGTAAGTATAACTTGGCCATGCAAAGTCTTTTCATAATAGTTTTGTATATTACCGGTTACAATAGCAGTGGTACAATTAACAAAACTAAAATAACCATTATGAAAATGATACCATCCATTTTATTATCCATTAAAGTGATTAATTGACCAAATATGGAGGTGTAATTATAAAAATAATAATCAATCCAATTTTGAACTAATATGCACTAAGGGCACTAACGTAATAATTCATTCAATTTACTTAATTTAAAATCGTACTTAGGACAGTCTGATGTTCCGACTCGTACTGCTGCTGTAAGGAACTGTTTTCTTCATTTTTCTTTTCCAGTTGTTTTCGCAATTGTTTTAAGTTCGTCTCCAGTTGAAGAACCATCGATTTCTTCCCTTCTTTCAAGTTTTCTATGTCACTCAGATATATTTGCTTTTCATTTAAGAGCTAGAAATTAAAAGAGAGTTGTTCTGTTCAGACAAAAAAGGAACATGCAGAAATTGGATCCAAAAGTGAAAGAAACGAAAAAAAAAACGTTATTTAAAAATGATCTGAAATGGCAACATTTATTGTTGCTAAAAGTAGCAGTGGCGATATGCAAATTTTAACAAGTTGCAAACGTTTTCAAGCTTCGTGAGAAATTGATCGGCTTTTGTTTTTAATCATCGATATCTCGGCAACAAGTACAGAAAATTGAAGGGCAGTTTCGAAAACTGGAATAAATTTCATGCTATGCCAACTTTTCGGAAAAAAAATTTTGTTCATCTTTTACACAAATTTAAAAAAACAGGAAAAAAGGGTAATTTACGGTTTTTTAGAAAATTGACGGCTAAATTAGAAATATTCACGAAATGACTAATGACTGTAAAAGTCATGCTTAAGATTAGTTATTTCATGAATATTTCTAATTTAACCGTCAATTTTCTAAAAAACCATAAATTACCCTTTTTTTCGTTTTTTAAAATTCGTGTAAAAGATGAAAAAAAAAATCCCGAAATGTTGCGGCAGCATCTTATAGGAAATTTATTCCAGTTCACAGAAAAATTTCGGATATTCTTTTGACCCTTTAATTGTTTGCATTAGTTTATAAGAAAACAGAAAGGTAATCAGCCTCTTTAAAAAGGCCTAACGTGGGATGGTGGCACTTTGACGAGGCGTTAGTAGAGGTTCTAAAGTTATTGATTTATTTAACACAGGACAAGTGAAAGTGGAAGCAAAAGTAAAACAACAGAGGAGAGAGACTGCAAAAGTAAAACAACAGAGGAGAGAGACTGTAAATATCACAGGACATTATTTTTGGCGATGTTAAACTAATTCTAATAACAAATAATGGAAAAAGAAATTTGATTTTTAATCAATAGTTTGATTGAACTAACAGTCTTATGTTTCTACAGATTTCGAATAAATTTAGGACAAATTTCGAAACATAAAGTAATACTGATACTTAATCCTTACATGATAGTATTGAGACTGAAAATATGCTAATTGCTCCTGGCAATTTGCTAGCTCCTTAACGACATCACCAGCTCCAGACTCCGCTAACGACCTATTCAGAGTGTCCACTTGATTGCGTAGAGCTAGATTTTCTGAAGTGATATTAGTTATAAACATTTTCGTGTGTTCGATCATCTTGTCCTTTTCCGAAATCTAAAATAGAAATAACTAAATTTAATTAAACTGATTCGCTCTATTTAAAAACTTTCCCTGCGCGAATACTAAGAATAATTAATTTTTTATATGTAAGAGTCTACATGTTTACTAAATCACAAAACATTACCTGTTTTGCTAAACTTTCATATTCAGGTACAGAACTTAATATTGACGATTTTTCCAGTTCAAATTTCATTTTAAGGTTCTCAATTTTCTCTTGAGCAGCCTTCAAATCGCTTTCTAAAATTTTGCATTTCTGTTCTGAAATTATCTTATTTGCTTCATGAAAATGGTTTTCGTCAAATTTTTTAGAAATGTTGTCGAGTTCCGTTGTCGATTTTTTAAGGTTCTCTTGAAGCTTGGTGTTTGTCTCTTGCAACGTCTCCCTATAAATAGTCGCTGATTATTTCAAGACTTAGTCAGCTATTTAGATTTCTGACCCAACAAATTTAGTCTAATGATAATTGGAAATAATCATTATTAGCGCCAACAGATATAAAAGTAGAAATAATTGTAGTAAAAACCAAATGTGATGTTTTTTACTCTTTCAGTTAATAATTTTATTTAACTTACTAGTGTGTTTTTATACTCACATATCTTTTTCCTTGATGGAAATTTGTGTTTGTAGTGAGAGTAACTCTTTTGACAGTTCATTTATACATAATCGGCTAATATTTAGTAATTCAGATACGCATTTTCCATGACCCTGAAACATATAGAACAAGTGTGAGAATAATTCCCCTTGAACACAGAAAACATTTTCGTATATAAAAATTATAGTAATTTGAAGAAACTGAAGTAATTTGTTGAATTAATTGAGTATTCCAATAAAAGTTATTTTAATTCAGGTATTTTTCCTAAAAGCAAAAAAAATTGAGTCAAATACGAGTATTCCGTTTTGTTTGTTGCTTTTAGTATAGAGTTACAGTCAAAATGTGTGTTCATATTACAGTTTTAACGTGATCCAGGACATTTATTATCATGCCTCGGGTACTGAGTGCGAAAAAAGAGGCAGAGAAAAGAAAACACATAACATTATTAAGTGTTTATATTTGTCAGCATATTCATGTTTCTGAGTAGGACGGCAACAAAAATTTCCCTTTGTTTTCTTAAATTAGCCTTCGCAAATATTTACGAAACAGAAGGAATATATCGGCCTGAATTATTTAATGGCTTCTTATCACCGATATGGAACTTAATAAAGTGTGTATTATTTCTATGTAAATAACCTGGCATAAAAGCGAAACGGAGTAATTTTCCCAAGGCAAATGTGCCGCAAAATAAACACCGGCATTAAATATACTCCAAAGCAATTATTTCGTCCTATCACATTTAGCTAATTACTACCTTCTAAAATAGTACTGAATTTTCCAGGTTCGTGGTTTCGCTCTGAAATTCAATTGTTCGTTAATCGAATGATTTGTTTATACTTTTTATGTTTATTTATCTATTGATAACACTAGACGAAAAGGCGAGTTCATACAGGGTGTCCCATAATTAATAGTACATGGTTCAGGGATATCTTCTTTGTTTAATTAATTTATTTTTGAGATAATTCCATCACATTTTAAGGTACTTCAATGAAATCTGGTACGAGGGACTGATTGAATATGGATGTGAGCTTACTTCCTACGGAGGCCTTCGAACACTTTAAACAGTCTTTAATTTTTTTTTCATATTTTTTTTACGACCGTTTCCATACATATCAGCGACATTGTATAATACAATATAAACTTTTACTGAATTAAATACAGGGTGATTCACAAATGGATTTACAATTTTAAGGGGAGTCTTTCCTATAAAATTTTTATCTAGGACGCTTTGTTAAAAAGATACAGAACAAGAAGAATACAATGAAAACTATCTCAAAAAAATCTGTTTTGAAAAGAGAATTTAAAGCTTATATTATAGAAAACTTTGGTCAACTCAAAGTAGTTTGTGATTGATATACTTGCCTTCGGATTTTGGAATTTTATTTCTTATAACTAGTCACTCCTGGCATACTGTCCTTCAACATCGTTCAGAAATTTCTGGTAAATTGATGAAAATACATTAATTTTTTTGGTATAGTCAAAGCAGTTATAACACGATTAGAAAAAAATTTATACATGTATGTCACACAAGTTTTACTTTGTTAAATGGGGTTCATTTTTTATTTTGACCCGATATGTGATATATATGGCTAGATATATATATTTTTATGCTTATTGGATGCTAGGTATTGTGATATTTTTGTATTGTACTGTTTAATTCCTGGTGTACCTAATAAATTCATTCATTCATTCATTATATTCGAATATCGAAGTGGTTTTCAGTTTGTTTTTTAAGTTTTACTCGAAAATCAGGCTATTTTCGAAAAACATAAGACAGTAGTAATTTGTAGAAGACTGAAATACGAATTCGAAAATATCGTGGTTATTACCGTAAAGCAGTGGCGTACTAATTTATTTAGAAAAATACGCCACCGATACCCTGTATTTCCGCAATTGGAGCATGTACATTTTAGGAAAAGCCCTCAGATTTTGGATAATATTTACATAAATACTTGTGCCCAATTTCAAATTATTTCACTTACTAGTTTTTAAATTATTTAAAAAAATTAAAAATATTTTTTGAAGTTTAACACCCTGTAACTTTTTAACGAAGCGTCCTAGATAAAAACTTTATAGGAAAGACTCCCCTTAAAATTGACCGAAGAATACGAGGTTTCATTTTGTTCACCATTTGTGAATCACCCTGTATATTGAATTAGTGACTTTTTAGTAATTCTTTCACAAAACACTAAAAATATCATATACCTCGAATTTAGACCAGTTCAGAGAAATCTGGAGACCATTAAATTGCCTTTTTAGATTATCCAAGTCCACCAATAGGCCATCACCTGCTTCATAGCTCTCTCGGATAAGTTGTTCCTTTTTCTGCAGTTCATAATTTAATGTGGCCAAATCCAGCTCGTATTCGGTTTGACATCTCTGAATCGTCGCTGAAATAAATAGCATATTTAATATTTAACGGACGCCGCGGTCACATCAAATCTTCACACATTTTTTTCGTTACTTTTTTCAGTTTCATTAAGTTCTATAAACATATAAGTGAATGATTGCAATGTGGTACAGATAAAAAATATTTGTAATTTAAAATAATTAAAGCTTTAGTGTATAGTGTTTTATACACAATGCACAGTTGTAAAATTATTAGAAAAACTATTCATGCAAGTAATAAACTTCAAAAGATTAGTGTTTATAACAACTTATGCAATGTTAAGTACCTCTTAGAATATTTGTCTGGGATGTAGAGTGACTTAGATGCTGTTCTAACCCATCGTTCTGTTTTTTTAAGATGTGCAACTCGTTTTCTAAATTGTCTATTTGCTGAACATATGCATCTAGTTTTTCTTGTAGCTTCTCGTTGTGGTTTATAACACATTCTACTTGTGAACTACATTCTGAAAATATATACAGTTACTTTTCGTGTGCTGCTAATTTAATAAATATTTGCAAGGCAATTCAATATTGTGTAAGGAGCAAATTCATTCAAAGACCAAGTCATTGCAGAAATAAATAATATTCCTTTATGACGATATTTTAAAAATATTTTCATATTTAAATATTCGTCGATGAATGAGAATGATTCATTGTTAGGGAAGGTATCATATGAATCATCACCGTACGCTAGATATATCACAGCGCTACATCTATAAATGGTCACTATTATTCAATGCCCTGGCCTTGACATCTCTACTCAGACCACAGAACATCGAACAAACCATCTCAGGTATGGTTTGGATCACCAAAATTGAGATTTTGGAGAATGGGAATATTATTTGTTCAGTGATGGATCAAGATATTATTTGTACCTCAACAGTAATAGGAATGTGGAGAAGGTACCAAAGAAGATATCAGGACGAAACAACATTAAACAAATTTTTAGAACCAAGAGCTTTACTCATAGCACAGCACTACATTCCTTAGTTTGTTTTTATGGACGACAACGGTAAACCTAACGGAGCCAATATGGCCATTAACATTTTTTAAAGTCAATAGGGTCAACTATACGCTCTAAAAAATGATACTTCATTTGCTAGTTGCAGTATGAACTTACACATGCCCAAATACGGTATTTAACTCATTTAATTTTTGTACACTCTTTTTAGAACAAATTCCATATTGAGAAAAATTGTATGCTGAGGTAGTGAGATGTAATTGCTGTTAGATCCTGCACAGAAGTACTTTAATACTAATATATATCACAGTTATTGCACAGAAATGAAATAATGCATTTAAATTTCTTAAAAATCGAATATAAATTGATCATTTTCATTTCTGCAATCTCGAGCAGTTCTATCTCTGCGACAAATGGCATCAACTGGGGCATTTAAACGAGCAATAATTCACCACTATCCTGGCAATTTTACTTCTCACAATGTCTGTATGAAGTCAAGACTATTTATATGGAGACAAATATTCTTATTACCAACAGTTTCTAACCATATTTTGTAAAACTAAGTAAAATAATGTAAAGGCAAATTAGTGAATATTAGCCTATATATTTTTAAAGGAAGCAAACTTTTCGAAAACTCCATTCGTTGAAATTTGAAACTTGCTTTTCATAAATTAGAAGTTATTTTTAAGTATTTGTAAGTCCTAAACCAAAATGTGTAAGTTAGTCATTGAGGAGATTATCAATACTAAAAAAAGTCTGAAAATGTTTGTGCCATCATATTTGCAAGTATCTGTAGACCATAAACTGGAATTTGTATCTTATTGAAGATATACAAAAGAAGAAAATTGGTAATTTGTAGAGTTAGCCCCACATTTTGAGATAATTTAAGCAAAATATATCAGAAATACTTTGTCATTAAGTCTTTGTGACAGTTACAAATCCTTACTAATAGTCCAATCGATAGGTAGAAGAGCTTACAAAAAAATATGGTGATATAGGAAAAAAAATTCTAAGGAAGATAGTGTTTTTTCCTGTGGCGCAAAATCGGCGAAGTTAACCTAAAAAATGCATAAAAGTCAAAAAAATAGTTTTTCGCTAATAAAAAAAACTTGAACTCCAGTCGAAAAAAGTTAAATGAGAAAGTCCTATCGATTCGTATTTTTAAATATATTGACTGACTGACTGACTTTTCGAAATATACCTATCGAAAAAACCGACAAAAATCGACATTTTTTTTTTGTTTTTGCTGTATCTCTTGCAAATGAAGGTTTTGATACTTGTTATTTGTTGTAAATGTAGCCCCCGGCAAGCATAAAAGTGCCTTTTTTTTTAATAAAAAAATATTAAAAATTTTTCAAGTTATATTGATTTTTCGAAAAAACGGTCATCTCGAAAATCTTGCTCGACGAATCAGGGCTCATTTTTTTTCTTAAGAGTTGTACTTTCATGATAAAAAAGAGTTATAATGATTTTATTAATTTTAAGTCACCAATCGATTCCTGTAATAGATATTATTGAGAAATGAAAATCGAAAAAAAATATTCAGGAAAAACGCGACCAAAAAATTTTTACTTTTTTCAAAGTATTTTTTGGACACCGAAAATGAATAAAATCGTTATAACTCTTTTTACCATGAAAGTATAGCTCTTAAGGAAAAATGAGCCCTGATTCATTTCTCTACGATTATTCGTCGAGCAAGAAGAGCCGATTTTCGAAATGACCTTTTTTCGAAAAATCGATTTAACTTGAAAAATTTTTAATATTTTTTAATTTAAAAAAGGCACTTTTATTGCTTTACGAGGGCTACATTTACAGCAAATAACAAGTTTCAAAACCTTAATTTGCAAGAGATACTTACAGCAAAAACAAAAAAGTCGAGTTTTTTTTTATTAGCGAAAAACTATTTTTTTTTGACTTTTATGAAAATTTTAGGTTAACTTCGCCATTTCTGTGCCACAGGAAAAAAACACTATCTTACAAATTTTGGTTTAGGACTTAGAAATACTGACGAAAATAAGGAAGTTTTAAATTTCAATAAATTCAAGGCTTCATTAAGTTGGCATCTCATAAATATATAAGTTGACATATAACGTAAGATATTAGGTGAAAATAAGGCAGTAATTCGATCTCGTTTGCACCAGATAAGAATATATTACGTAGACCGTGCTATAATTTCAAGCAATTCACCTGAATTCACTCAGACTTCGCGCAGACACGGAGCGTCAAAATCATAATTTATTCCCTTAGTTAAAATAATTAGTTCCTTTCTAAAACTTACCCATACATTTGTACTTCAGACCCATCTCGGGAAAACTTCGCAACTTCCTAACAAGCTTTTCATGCTTACGGAACATAATTTCATTATCAATTTGTAATTGCCTGTTTTGCTTAACGAGAGTGTTTAATGTTTCTTGCAAAGTTCGTTCCTGCGCCCTGCCGATCTCTATTTGGTGGATCCACATGTCGTTCGCCAAGGCGCTGGTCCTTCTTTCAGCCTCTCGCTGAAGTTTCGAATGCTGTGAAAGGGTTTCGACTGAAATTACATAATACAGTAAAAGTTGGCAGACACGTATCCGAAGCCTTACTCAGTTCTTTCTGGCAGCTCGGGTCTTTTATGTATCTACCGAGGATTTGTATTAAATGGTTCTCGCTCTCGCTAAATCGGCTGGCGAGTTCTTGAACTGACTGTAAACCGTTTGCTAATGTTACGTTTAATGTAGACTTTCCGAAGTTTCTGAAACGAATCAGTTTAAATACGCCCTTCCGAGCTGAAGCTAATCATGGTGCGGTAAGCGTGAGTAGCATTTTGATTGAAACATGAAATTCAATGTAACTTCAAGAGGCATTCATTAAATGTGAAAAATAACATTTCCTCAAAACAGAAAAATGCCAAATATAGGGTGTTTCCACGAAATCCATCGATGGATAACTGGAAAACCGCTGGAAGGATCTTTTTGAAATTGTAGTGGTGTAATACGGGCCGTGGGACCTACAAAGCTAAAATATCTTCAAGGTCATTGTACTTCCGATTATACCGGAAGTCGATACCAACTTTCTTATTTTAAATGGAACCCCCTGCATATTATTGCATTTTTAGAAAGAGCATTGATTTTTAACTTGAAAACATGTAGCACACTCCACACTTAGGATTGACCGTTTCCGAGATATTTTGATTTTTATGCAAAAATTGACAAATGCAGACTCTCAGCAAAATTTAGTTTTCGCGAAACCTCAGGTTTATTTTTTGTGCCAATTGGACATTTTGTAAAGGAAGACCTTGTTTATCGGATTTGACATGAAAATTTTCCAGTTTTTATACGTGGTCAAAAAAAAAAAAATTATCGAATATCAAGTTCAGAAAATGTGGAAAACTCGAAATTTTTAAATGGAAACCCCCATTTTTTTATATATTCTGCACTAAAATTGAGTGCAACTTTGTTAAAGTTTCCCTATACATACCTAAACTCAGTCGTTTTTATTTGATTTACGAGTAAACTTTTCTCTTTGCCTAAAATGGTGCTTCTATTTGTTTCGAACATTTCAGGTTGGCCGTGGCAGGTAAGTAACAATCAACATGACAACTGTCACAGGTTTTTAATTGTTTGTCAAATTTATTTTAATAAATGTTCAAAAAGTCTTCCTCCATCTTCTAAACATTTTTCACATTTTCAGATTAGTTCCATGAGGGTCGATGCTCTATAGAATCCGGTGATAGATGCTCAAATGCTTGTCTTACTCTATGAATACAATTTTCCTTTGTTGTTACTGGAGTACTATACATACACACTATTTTTTTATTGTCCCCAAATAAAATAATCTAGCACAGATAAGACGGTATAACCGGAAGTACGATGACCTTGAAAATATTTTAGCTTGGTAGTCCCCACGACCCATATTACACCACCACAATTTCATAAAAATCCTTTCAGCGGTTTCCCAGATATCCATCGATGAAGTTCGTGGTGAGACACTCTGTATAGTTCACAATATAAGACTTGAACATATAAAAAAATCACCACTAATCAATATTTTTGCGTAGCAAAGTTATTAACTATTTATGTTTCTGAAAATTTTACATTTAGTAACAAATTGTGTTTTGGCAAAATAGCACCTCAAAATTTTTGCCTCATATCTAAGAATAGTTATTCATTTTTTCCCTATTACTCAAAGTCTGGTAACGTTAGGGGCAAATTTTTGTACCAGGAGGTGAAAAATTTAAGATCTAGTTCAGAACCCAACATATCAAAGAAAAATTTTACAAAAATAAACGAAATTATTTAATCAACGTAAGGATTATACAAATATAAATATCCTTTGAATGTCCTGCTAGAATCCCAGATCTTAATCCATTTGGGCCATATAAAACAAATGGTTTATTCAAATGACATTAACAATGAAAAAAATAATAGAATTATGAGTGCTGGACATCAAATTCAAACTAATCAAAATTGTATCTTTATCCTTACGTCGATTAAATGTTTTTGTTTACATGACCTACTGTTACATTTTGTAAAATTTTAAATTTATCTATGAAAGCAGCCAACTCTGATATTTGAAAAAAGAAACAAGATAGGAATAAATAGTCTTTCGTCTTGTAGACTAGGCAGTTTTGGTTTGGGTGAATAGTATATTCACCGAGATTTTTGGCTTTTTGGCTTTCAAATATCCCTAGAAATGAAAATTTTTCTATGCGCATAAAAAAAAAGTAGGCTTAACTTTTGGTGACACAATATGTTAAAAAAATTCGGAAAATGTCATATCTTTCTTCCTATTTAATTATGTATCTTTTCAAGAGTTGATTTTAGGAGAAAATGGAAGAGGAAAAAAATGTTTGTAATTAAATTTTACAAAAGACTAGTTACAAATTGAATGAATCATGATTATTATTGTAAAAATCGAAAAAATCGAGAAAAATGGGGTTAAAAAACATTACTTCTTAGCAAATTATTTTGAGGTCTTTATGTTGGGTATAGGATCTTCATACTTGGCTCAAGACAGTTTATGTTATGTAGAAACATAACACCCAATTTCCTAATTGACGGAATAGAAAGTTTCAAAAAGCGTTTGAAAGCTTGAGAGTTCTTTTATATGGGATTAAATTTTATCTAAGGGCCTTGTTTTTGCTGTCCAAAATTTTGAAAATTTGCATTTTTTTTTCAAAATCTGGATTGCAAAATTATTATGCAAAATCTATAGAACCAATTTTGATGAAATTTGGTGTGATGATTCTACATAACATGAACCAAGTATGAAGGTCCTATACCCAACTTAAAGACCCCAAAAAATTCCCTAATATGTTTTTTAACCCTATTTTTGGCGATTTTTTCGATTTTTACAATAATAATCATGTTTCATTCGATTTCGATTTGTAACTAGTCATATTTTGTAAAATTTAATTACAAACATTTTTTCCTCTTCCATTTTCGTCTAAAATCAACTCTTGAAAAGATACATAATTAAATAGGAAGAAAAATATAACATTTTTCAAATTTTTTTAACATGTTGTGCCGCCAAAAGTTATGTCCACGTTTTTTTTTCATGAGCATAGAAAATTTTTTATTTCTAGTGATATTTTAAAGCCAAAAATCTCCGTGGATATACGATTCACCCAAATATGCACTCTTTGAAACAGATACTGCCTGGACTATTGTCTGTCTGTCTTTTTTGTTTAAAATTGAATCTGATCCAGATCCTTCATTTTTTGCCCCCTGGTGTGTCACCCTGTATTTTTCAACAACATTGTTTCTCTCATAAGTAAAGTATACATAATTTTAATCTTAAGTCAATATAATTCATAACAAATTGTTACAGTGCATGCAAATAAATATTTAAAATTATGTTTTGATAAAAAGTAGAATACCTAAAAAATTGTAATAATGTACTGTTGAATGAGATTTTATACTTACATAAATGATGTTGGTGCACATATATTGTTTCTCAAAATACTCCTTTCGGTAAAATCTTTATTTGAATGTAAGCGATAGACCTTACAGCTTTGCGTCTTTTCGATAATATTCCCTTTACTACTGCGATTTATTAAATCGTGATCGGACTTCTTCTTGATATTTTCAGATGACTGCTTTTTAATGAGTTTCCGGAAAAAGTGGCTCTTCGTTTTCGTTGTCGATTGAACCGAATGCTACAAATTTTAAGTACTTATAATTAATTTGTACGCATAAAGAGGATGCTAGATACTTCTGAATCTGTCGTATGCAAGTATTCCTCATTGCTCTTTATGCTCAAATGGTTGTCGCCGCCGTTATCCACGAAATCTCTTACACTTTCTCTACCTGCATCAAATTCATCTGGATGCAATCCTAGCGAGGAATTACTAGCTATGTATTCCAGATTCTGAGATGAGATGTTGATGGGATTTAAAGAAGTTTCAGATTTCTTATTCTTCTTTTTACTTCGACGAACAAAGGCTAAGAGATTTGAAGATTTCCTGGGTTTAATGTTGGATGCGCTGGAGGCGGTACTCGCGGCATCTTTTTGCTGACAATTTTTAATGGTGGCCATGGAATGACTTTTAATTTCGTTAGATTTAGTTTTGTCTTTTACGTGCCTATCCTAGAAAAGAACCTGTGTGTAGGTAAAGTGTTCCCATTTTTGGTTTTTGTAAAACTATGATAGCTTAAATTAACATACTCATATTTCTCAAATCGAACAGTAGGTGCCTTAATTAAAAAAATCCTATATTATAAGTTGTAGTTACGTAATATAAATACAGTAAAAATATATGTCAGTAAAGAATTTATGGATTTGCTAGTATTTCTATGATATTAAACTGTGAAGGATATGTACACTAAATGATACCCTGAATTGAAATTATCTACTTTTTTGGTTCATCTACAATTTCCAAATGATTTTTCTATGCAATTTATATCGAAATAGTTAGGTACTTACGATTTCTTTAAATTTATCTTCATCCATATTTGCAAAAAATTCTTTAAATTCGATTGAAATTAGTGAAGTTGACGTGAATGTCAAAATATTTGATAAAACGGTTTTTCAAAGGGTACTAGAAATTGTTGTAATATAAAATTCTACAGGGTGTATGAGCGCAGTTGCAACAAACCAGGGTCTGATTCCTCACGTCAAAAAAAAAGGATAAAAAAGGAGAGTAAAGGGCTCGACTATTTTTTAAAACTTGTGACATGAAATACAGTATTTGATAAATTACTCAAAAAAAATTTTGTTACAACCAGTCAGTTACCTCGTACCTACACAATACAGGGTGATTCACAAACGATGACCAAAAATAAAACCTCGTATTCTTTGGTGAATTTTAAGGGGTCTTTCGTATACAATTTTTATCTAGGACGCTTCTTAATTTTTTTAATAATTTAAAAACTAGTACTTTAGTGAAATAATTTGAAATTGGGCACATGTACTTATGTAAACATCATCCAAAATCTGAGCCCTTTTTCTAAAATTTAGATGATCCAGTGGCGCAGATACAGGATATCGGTGGCATATATTTCTAAATAAAATAGTACGCCACAGCTTAACAGTAACAATCATGATATTTTCGGATTCGTCTTTCAATTTTTTATAAATTACTACTCTCTTATGTTTTTCGAAAAAAGACTGATTTTCGAGTAACCCTGTATATAATTTTGTTCCTTTCAAGCTTATTTCATAAAATGCACATTCAAGCTTGACACTCCAGTCACTGTGACAAAGTTAGGAACAGCAAATTATTGATAAAAGTCAATAATTCGACTATAACTTCTCACAAGATAGAGATACAATCTATTCATTTGACATTTCATCCATATATGTCAAATTATGCAAATTTACAATTATTATTATCACTCGACCCTTGTTTTTTTTTGTTGAGTCGAAATAAATAAGTAAAAATTGGGACGTTTCAAAACAAGGCATAGAACAGATTATTTCCATTTAAATGTTGTCAAGTAAATATGTTATTATTATTATTATTTGTAGCTATAACGAAGAAGGATTCATTTAATGGTAGCGATGTTGCATATTTGCTTCGAATACTATTTACTTTCTGTACTCATAATACGCAACAATATCCTTTAAGATTTTAAGTTTCTTCAGATCATTATTCTGAGGTATTTATTTAGCAAAGAAACTTACCTACTTTATTTTTATCGCAATACTTTCTTGTTCCTTAATATTTTACTTATATTGCTGTTACTGTGTTATGTAATTAATTGCCCCAAGTACGACACTGATGCAAATAAAGTATGCATAAAATATTTACACTTTCGTCTTCGAATATTTTATAGACATATGAATGTCCGCTAGGGAAGCATATTTCAAGTGTCAACTCTCTGCACAGGGTGGCTTTTCATAATCAGTAGGTCTGTCAGAGAGAATTGCAATTAAATGACGTCAACCGAGACATGTGCGAGCCGCTGTCTCAGACTGCTTTTCACGTTCACCTCATGTTAGTATACTGTTGCCATTGTTATCCTGCGGATATTGTGTAACTAATTCCTATCCGTTGGTGTTTATGGTGGTGTATTGTAGACAATTTAATTTGTTGCTTTTTAATAAATAATGCCTACGCCTATGTCTCGCGGCTTAGTTCTGACAGCCTAATAATCATTGATGTAAGTTACATGTTTATTTGCATAAATAATTTTAATTTTCAATAATAAGGCACTTTATTTTTTATATACTTAATATACTTACATAATTTTTGGTCTAAATATGTAGAAAATAAAGCATTAACATTCCTGTAGCTTCCTAACTAAAATACAGGGTGTTGTATCTAAAACGCATTTACACACTTCGAAATTCTATNGCAAAGAAACTTACCTACTTTATTTTTATCGCAATACTTTCTTGTTCCTTAATATTTTACTTATATTGCTGTTACTGTGTTATGTAATTAATTGCCCCAAGTACGACACTGATGCAAATAAAGTATGCATAAAATATTTACACTTTCGTCTTCGAATATTTTATAGACATATGAATGTCCGCTAGGGAAGCATATTTCAAGTGTCAACTCTCTACACAGGGTGGCTTTTCATAATCAGTAGGTCTGTCAGAGAGAATCGCAATTAAATGGCGTCAACCGAGACATGTGCGAGCCGCTACCTCAGACTGCTTTTCACGTTCACCTCATGTTAGTATAATGTTGCCATTGTTATCCTGCGGATATTGTGTAACTAATTCCTATCCGTTGGTGTTTATGGTGGTGTATTGTACACAATTTAATTTGTTGCTTTTTAATAAATAATGCCCACGCCTATGTCTCGCGGCTTAGTTCTGGCAGCCTAATAATCATTGATGTAAGTTACATGTTTATTTGCATAAATAATTTTAATTTTCAATAATAAGGCACTTTATTTTTTATATACTTAATATACTTACATAATTTTTGGTCTAAATATGTAGAAAATAAAGCATTAACATTCCTGTAGCTTCCTAACTAAAATACAGGGTGTTGTATCTAAAACGCATTTACACACTTCGAAATTCTATTGTTATTTTCTTTTTGTATGTGAAGCTTTCGACTGAGCTTTTTTTATTGCGTCTAATATTTTATATTTATTAGCACTGACGAGTCTGGTGGATTTTAATCACTGTCTTTTGGTTTTGTTGGAGCACTAATGTTTACGAGGCTACGAGATTACTTGATTTAGAAGTTTTAAGAGCTTGTAGTTTGAGGTCTCCCTGGAGTACTTGGTATGGAAGCTTTAGGAGCTTGTATTTGTAAGATCTCCTCAAGGTGCCTAGTATAAAAGCTTTAGGAGCTTGTATTCCTCAGGTTCAGAAACTCCTGGACAGTATGAGCTACTAGAGCTGTGGAAGCATAGAGCTTGATAAATTTTTAACTTAGTTTTGATTTTATAAAATTGTGATTTATTAAAATTTTTAGCTAATTTATAATAAATAAAGCAGTAATAATATCTGCATACAACGCAAATATAAAAATTTGATTAATAGGCTGCAGGGTATCCGGGTCGACGTTCGAACACGGCCAATGTTGGATCCGCAAGGATTCTGCAGTCGTGTCCGTATTGAATTTGAGAATTTGACCTCCTTAAAAAATACCCATTTTCCGAAGCATGTTTTTTTACGCTTGATGGTGCTTGGCGGCAATTGGGGCTTCGAAGGGGAACCCCGGGAAATTTTCGAAGCATGAATAAAATTTTGTTTTTCTCGCTCTACAAGGTCTTTGGCTAGTGAATGGCTGTTTATAGGTTTATCAAATTATTTTGAAAACATGGGTGAAAAAAATATATTGGCATCAAGTTGAAGCAAAGGGCCAGTTGTCGCAATTGTACAAGTAAATCGATGCCATTATAATTGTGTAGCTTCCATATCTGAACATCCCTGATTTTATCGAAGAAAGTAATGAGACATTAAATGTTTAAATACGATTTCTTTATTAAACAGCATAAGAGCTAATAGTTATATCATACATATCTACAAGATGATACAGAGATATTTAAATGTATTAATGGCTATACAAGTAAATCTAGTTATGAATGTACTAAATATATTTAATATAAAGTCCGAAGGTTAGTATTGCAGCACCACACCAAATTACAAAGTTTTCATGGACGTCACTTTTAGAAAGTCGTGTTTTCTTTGGCACCAAAAACGATAAAAATAGTTAATCGTAAAAGTCAAGTATGTCGTACAATACAACATCTAAGAGATTTTTTGAGCATTTCGTTTCCTAACAGTTTGTAAGACATACTCAACCCTGCGTTAATAAGCAATTAATGTCATTTTTTTGACAGTAATAATCGGTTGCAAGACTATTTACTTCACATGTACTTCTTTTATCAGTAACTAATTACGGGTGCACAAAATATATAGAACTAAAATATGTGCAAATAATCTTACAACTAATTTTTATATACCCCGTGGACCAAATTAAAGATTTATTAAGGAAAGTTCGCAATATTTTTGGAAAATTAAAATTTCGTAAAATATTTTAATTTTTATCGTATGATAAAAATTGAATAAAATCATGTTATTCTTCTATTTGACCCACCATGTAGGTATTTGAATAAATAATAGAAAACGAAGCTAAACTACAGCGTTACACACTATTCAAAAAAATTCTAGAACTCTTAAAATAAATTATCAAAAGAACTTTGGCAGTTTCACAAGTAACAGTAATAAATATGCAGCAAATTTTTGGTACACTTAATTGCAGATAACAATAAACATTATATAACATTTTCGATATGTCTCAAACATTCAAGTGATTTATAAAATAGATAATATTTCATATTTACATTCACAAATACAATGTTTTAAAAATCGTGAATACTTTTCATAAGATTTTTTCAACAGGACATCTTTATAAAAATTTACTTAAATTATAGGAGATTTTATACAAAACGTTTTTTGGTTTGTACGTAACACAAACTGTTGCTCGGTTTATATCCGGTTTGGAAAAGGAAATTGACCTTAGCAATCGTGTCACCAATATACAGGGTGATTCACAAATGGTGAACAAACATGAAACCTCGTGTTCTTTGGTGAATTTGAAGGGAAGTCTTTCCTATAAAGTTTTTATCTAAGACGCATCGTTAAAGAGATACAGGGTGTTAAAATTCAAAAAATATTTTTAATTTTTTTAAATAATTTAGAAACTAGTAAGTGAAATAATTTGAAATTGGACACATGTATTTATGTAAACATTGTCCAAAATCTGAGGGCTTTTCTTAAAATTTACATGCTCCAGTGGCGGAGTTACAGGGTATCGGTGGCATACTTTTCTAAATAAAATAGGTTTTAATTTTTTTAAAGTGAAGTCATTTGCGTACATGTAAAAGTATTTCGAATTGAGAAAAAAAATGTAACGAAAACATCCAGGAAGTACAAATAATATACTTTTATTTACAATTAGTATTTCAAATATTTTTATGATGGGAAAACTATGGTCTAGAAAATGTAAATTGACCTTAAAAGACAGAGAACAAATAATGTGAACATTAATCTAGAAATCTTACTCAATAAATAGACTTTGAAGGTACAAATTTATTAATTCTTCTGTGCTAATATTCGTAAATTAACAAAACTGGATTAATTAATTAATATATTATTGTACAAGGTGTAACTAGTACGCTTGACCAAAATATATGACAAATTCTGTGTCCTAAATTAATAGAAAAAATTCATATAACTGAACGTGTGTTCACAAACAAGTTTGGTTTACGACAAGATCTAAGAAATTAAGAAAAAATATGATTTACCTCAAACCGCAAACGTGATTATTAGAATTATTATTGTTGTGGTCATAAATATCGTTTAATTAGATATACATTCTATATTTTTATATATATTTTTTAAACACATGTTTTTGATAAGTCTCTAATGCATTATTATTATCAAGTTAACCACTGCTCCCACATTTTTGCCTTCTTTTATAGAATATGAAAAATTTAAAATTTATTTCAATAAAACCTCATTTTTTTGCAACTAAAAGAAATATCTTGTAAATTGTAAATATAGAATCTTCGGATTCGTGGTAGTGGTTTCTTTGCAGAATATAATCCACCATATATATTGGTCTGAGCCTGTTAATTACAACCTTGTGCAGACAAAAAAATGTACACAATAAATTTCTAAATTTTTTAGGTGCAACACCATTTTTTATAAAAATTTGTGTTTTATTTGGTTGTGAGAATTATTTCTATAAGCATATTAAAATAGTTTGCATTTATGAAAACTAATAAAATAAATTCAAATTCCTAATAATATGAAAAAACTTATTTATAAATGAAATAGTTATGCAAGAAAAAGTTTACTTACCAAGTCTTCTACTGAGAAGAAAATAAATTTGATTTTTATGTAAATTTTTGTATGCCTCTTATTGTAACTATGTACAACATTGTTTCCGTTAAAACAAGTATAATATTATGTTAAATGGACGAAGGATTACCTTATTTAATATTCCATACATATATTAATAATCATGAACCGGATATAAACGAGCAGAATATTCGACGTACTAGTAAAATTATGAGTAGCAACAATATCATATCGAAAACAGTTTAGAGAAGGTCCTCTTTGTTCACCTCTTCCATTTTATTGTTATTTTTGTTCCTCTTCATAGCGGCATATATAGATGCAGCTTTGTAGTTAATGGGGCCGTACGATTTGTAATCTACATCTGCGTATTCTAGATCACAGGGATCAGGCCTATAAGGCTGGAAAAGGAAACGATGTGTTATAAAAGCAGTTTTCTGCAACACCAAAATTAGTGTAAGGATGCAGTTAATTTTTTATACTTAATTAAATGTCGACCTAAGCAAACAGTGACTGTTTCTATAATTCGATAAACATAATCCACTTACATTGTGTTCTAAATTTACAATTAATTCTGTAAAACTGAATTATTTGTTATCTACGTGTAAAACGTCATTACCTTAGAAAATATACGTATCACTAGCAGTAGTAGTTGTCCCATTAGTCTAAAACAAATTTAGATGTGATTAGGTACAAATACTTAATTGTAGATTTAGGCACAATCTCACATTGCAGGGATTTAAGCTTTTAGGGAATACTGTATTTGTCAAGCCACAAAACGACCAATTTTAGCTTAATCGCTTTTTAAAAATTAGAATGTCCCACGCGCGGTCGTATAATCTTTTTGCATTATTCCAATCAGAATTTCAAAATCGTTTTACATGATTAATAAAAAATATGTAATAGCTGTTTTATATTGACAATTTATTGATGAATAAATTGACGAAGTTCTACGGACTTTGTCAAGTTTTTTGACGTATGAATCAGTTCTACCAATGAATCAAAGAAGCAAATAAATTTCAAAAATGTCACCTTTCCACTCATAATTGTAGTGATACAACAGTGGTACCGTTCTGACACATATTATATAAATATTAGTTTTTGTAAGTAACAAATCAGTAAAAACAATGCAAAACTAGCACGACGCCACACAATTATTTACATATGCCAATAACATAACCTCATTACTGATCCGAGGCTGGAAATCTGTTGGGTTGGTACTTCCGAACTTCACGAAGAAATTGACGAAAATTAGAACATGCTCTAATTCGTCAAGAACTTGGTGAATAAATTCATGAAGTTATTTGACAGCAGATTTGGTGCATTACACTTGTCCAATTTCTTGATGAAGCGACTTCATGAATTAATTGATCAATAAATTGTCAATGTAAAACACCTATAAGAAACTGGTTGATGTGAAGTCTAAATAACTGTAATATTTTGTTCAACTTGAAGCCCACTGAAGTTAATTTATAAGCAAAGATTACACTATTCTTCTCAAATACTAATCTGCACGAGATACGAACAATAAATAAAAGTGTTGGTCATTTATTTTTATCAGAAATTGTTTTATTGAATTCTGTAATGCCAGGCTTCTCTTTTCAATTTTTAGAATAGTACTTTTCTATTTCAAGAATTTCTTGTCCATTCCTAATTAATTCCATTGTATACAGGGTGTTAATGAACTTATGTCAAAAATTTAATGGGATGAAAAAGGAGCAAAAACTGAGTTAACTGATGTCACAAACTTGTATAGGAAGTATAAGGTCATAGAGAAAAAAGCTAATTGAAATAAATGTGTTTAGAACTGTTTTGGAACTGCTGAGATACATGTATTTTATGGCGGCGAGTACTTACAAAGAATTCTGTAACACTTTTTTCGAGTTTGTAGGTTTCTTATGAAGTCTTATGAAAGCGAACTGTATTCGAAAGGCATTTTGTAATGCATTGTTGTACTGATCGCTGTGCTGTTTTTCGAGAGTAGATACATTTAATAGCCGTATTTCCAAGTTCATTAACACCCTGTACAAATTAAAATAAAATAGATACATGACGGACATTTGTCCTACAGACCTACAGACTGCGGGATTATCATCTTTTGTTTCTGTGTCACTAAATTTTTTTTTAAATCAAAATCTCTAAAAAAGACCAAAATATGATATGTAAAAGTTGTTTGTTTTTGACCTCTTGCTAGAGGTCGTCAGTTATGACATAATTTTATTTGGAAATAAATCGATTCAGATCAAATTATGTTGGTAGAATTTTGATTCTTCTTTTTATTCCATTTTACTAGTAACTAATATTAACGCAACATGTGAAAAAAATACGCTTATACCACGGTAACTTGATCTAAATGGGTTTATTTTTTATCTAAGTAGGCTATCTGTAAAGTATGGTCCACTAGTTTCCGGACACCCTATATATTAGAGAGTAGAAGGTAGTTAAGTTTGGGACAGGTTTTTCAAAAATGATACAATTTCAGCAATTTCAAGAGGAGTGCCTTTTTTATGCAGAATGAAATTTTACATTATAATATACGACATATTTGTCATAAAGACCTAACCTCAAAAAGGCTGTCATAAAATGACAATGGGTAAGGACGTAGCTAACGAGAGCTAGCAGATGGTCAAAAACTAATTATGATAACGTATTTTACGTACTCGAAAATTTACCTGTGTCACATTTCAAGGCATTATACTACTAAAAAACATGGCTAAAATTTGATTTAAAAATATCCTATTTGGTGCTACCTTAAAACCAGGAGAAAATTGGCCCTTAGGGTTCCTTATTTTTTGATGGTTCATCAGTCACTGAATTTATAGTATCTTTTTCCAAAACACCCTATATAATAAGAAAAGAAAGCAAACGTGTTTATGCAAAAACTACATATAAAGGCACTAATAAAAATCACATTAAATTTCTGTTACTAACCTTATCCTACTTATCAAAAAAATAACCTAAATATCTGTTAAACATCAATTTCTTGACCAACTTCGTTAAACTTAAGCGTTGCGTATTCAGTCTTTGGTTTAGATTTTTGGGATTTGGGTTTCGAAGAGCTCAGATTAAAAGAGCCCTGTTTACTATTTGACGTCGGCATATCTAGATCCGCATAGACGACCCCATTCGCTTTACCGGGAGTGGCATTTTGCAAAGGGAGACCAAAAACGGGTTGTGGATATTGCAACTGAACGGAATTTTGCACGTTTTCTTGGAAATGTATGTTTTGCTGATAATCGCTTGGCCTGCGCAAGACCAGCGGTCCCTTTGTCTTTTGCTTTGGCTTGTCCCTCTTGTGATGTCGCCCACGGTGGGTACTTTCGGGGTAGTCCGTCACGTAGCCATTTCTCATGAGATTTTCCTCGTGGATATTTTTTATCGGTTGAAAATAACTTTCCGCCGTTTGAAATTTGAAACTGTGGCATTTTTGGAGGGGGATTTGGAATTGGTGTTTCTTTTGTTTCGATTTCGATGAGAACGATTTGCTTTTGGGCAACTGTTCTTGGAACAACGACTTCGGTATCAATTTTGCGTGCTTTTGATGAGGTATTGTTGCCGAGTACTGAGGAGGCACAACCGTGTTTAGATGCTTAAAGTGCGGAGTGGTTAATGTGTAAAAAGCATTCTGAAAACAAGTTAGTTATTAGTTGCTACTGAAACAAAGGTGATTACTGTTTTGACCCCTCCAAGATTAAAAGTAAACTTTGTCACATACTGCATTCAGTTTCTGAAATAGGAGATTTCTTCTATGATTAAATACACATTAGAGGATAGAATTAGAAATTGTGTTCTAAACCTTTAATCTTAGAAGGACCAGGTAGCAAAATAAAAATAATAAAACACACCTGATTATTCAAGTTAGCGATATTAGGACTCCATTTTATTTGCGTGTTCAAAATAGGCATTTGCGGAATTTCAGGAAACGGCTCACTGGTTTTATCGTCATCTTTAATATCAGTAAGAATTGTTTTGTTTGGATTGTCAGCTGGACTTTGAACGGGAGAAGCTTTTATCTTAGCTTGAATTTGCTGTGACAAAGCTCCTTTTGGACTCTCAGTCTTAGGTTTGATAAAATTTGGGCTTACTTTCAATATTGGTGAATTTTTCAACGCGTGGGTGGATATAACTGGTTTAGATGGGTTTTGTTTAGGACTAATGGCAATCGGTTTGGGAGAATCTTGGAATTTGCTAATTAAGCTTTTAGTATTAAGTGGCTCTTTCACATTTTCTACTTTACTAATGTTGTCGTTTACATTTTCCTTGTTACTTTCATGAATACCATTGTTAGATTTCTCTTTGTTAATTGCATCAGTTACATCAGAAGACTTTTCAATAACTTCATTTTTATCTGCATCACTAGAAGCATGTATCTGTACTTCTGTTACCGATATTTGAGTTTTGTTATTCTCTCCCGATTCCGTAGATGTGTTGGAATCGTCTGAATTTGTTGACTGTAGCCCTGGAGAAACATTGGCGTACACAATTTCTGACTTTTTCTGTTTCCTAGAACGGGGCGCTGGAATAGGCATTTCGTCAGTTCCTTTATCAGAATTTTCTGAGGATTGTTCAAATATTTGGATAGAGTCTGTAAGTTTTTGAAAGCGATCGTTGTTTTCATCGGGCTTTTTATTTGACTCTGATTTATCACCACAATCTTCATTTGGTAAAGGTTCAGAGCTTTCTTCATTCTGTTGGGTGGTATCAGGTTTATTTGATTCCGAAATGTCATCATAACATTTACTTGACAAAGCGAAAACCACTGATCTTCTCTTAGGATGCTTTTTGGATCGAACAGAGTAAAATGTAGGGGAGTAACTCTTCTGCTTTTTGACTTCCAGCGATCCAAACCTCTTTTCCACGTGTTTCTTGTTTTTATTGTGGTAACTTTTTCTAGCTACAATCTGGCTGGTCTGAACATTCTTTGTGTCGTTATTTTCTGGCATATTTATTCCAGAAGCCGTTCTTCTGATATCAAACTGCTCTTCATTACGTCCAGAGATTCTATTGAGCTGTGGTGCAACGGCATTTGTGAAACGATTAAGAGTTTGCTGCCTCATCGATGCTCTATTAATATTACCATCAGTCTCAGTTTTTCGAGAATTATGCTTATTATGTGTGGGTATCCCAGAAATGGTATTGAATCCGGAACTTTGTCCAAAATTGGGCGGTAATTGCGAAAATATTTTCGGTATATATTGAGTTGAGAGTCTTTGATTGTTATAAATTTTAAAAGTGTTGCTAAATTGATGAGATGGATACGAGTTCAAGTAAGCAGGGTTTACTGTTCCAGTTAGGGGGAAGTAAGGGGGTACATTTGTTAAAGGGGTAGGATTTTGTTGAAAACCATGAAAAGATTGATTTCTTTTTACGAGTCTGCTCTGGCCGTACTGAACACTGAGAGTTCCCAGCGAAGGAGATAAAAATTTTTGAGTTGGAGGCAACGATAATTTCGATGATGACGTAAAACCTTGAGCACTGTTTCCCTGAGTAAATGGCGCTATTACAGATATTGGCTGCAAAAACACACATGCAAAATTAAAAAAAAATAATGATACAACAGTAGTAAAAAGAAAAAAATGACTGATTCAAAAATTTTATTACCATGTATCCTCGATGACATTTAATGAGATCATTCAGTTTGATATAGTTGACAGATGATGTAATTAAATGAAATGATAATATTTGAAAACTCAATTTATAAACGATAAAACAGACAGAAAACAGAAGTTTCGCAACATTTCTATTTCTACAATTGGTAAGTTGGTTTCCCATCGATTTTAAATTATTCAGTCTGGCAACAATGCGACAAAATTACAGAACTAATTCCTTTCATCAAAACAAATGATTCTTAAGGGCTCTACGATTCTTATATACTAACAGTGAAATACAGGCATCAAAAATTAGTGTTTGGTCTAAGTTTTGAATGGTTGTAAAGCTCTTAGGAATTTTTTGAAGGAAACATCTCATTGATTGGTGATTGATATTGATTTATTGATGATTTATTTTTATTTATTTTATTATTTTTGTTACAATGTATATCTGTATAGTAAATCCTTTATTTTGGATTGTGTTATCATTTATATACATATATGTATATGAAGTAAAATAGGTTTAAAATTGTACTGATGAAAAGGTTTGTAGAAATAAATGTAAGAAGTACATTTCTAATTTGTGGTAATGTTCTGGAGACGAATATAAAGCTTTCCAGGAGGGCTTAAGATTGAAATATTATCAACAAAGAAATGTATAGTTATAACATAATTGTTAGAGACATGTAGGTGTATCATGGCAATAAAACTTTTGTCATCAAACATAAAAAATAAAAAAAGAAGAATTACTGTTCGTACAAAGTCTTACTTTATTTGGTGGGTTCTGCATGCCATGGAACGGAAGATTTTCGTAGAATCCTTTATCGGGATCATTCAGGGGGTCTGCTATAAAGCCAGTTGGTGGAGCAGCCCCTAATCTCGCCTTATCTTCGGTAGAGGACGGGTTGGGTGCTAAAAATAAAAAAAGGAACAATTCGAAAGTTTGTTTTATGGCCCCGAAAGCTGTAACGCTTACATAATTAACAATAAAGGAATAACACAGCTTCCCCCAGTTCCCAATTATCGATTTCGTTCCGTCTTAACTTTCCGTATAAGTAAGAACTGAACCGTAAATAAAAGTTTAAAGCCTTAATATTCAGGACATTCGCCAGAGAAATTTTCATATTTATTTAAATCGACAGTTTCCGTTCAAACGTAGTATGCTTTTGGATACCTGGTTTAAAATAATCGAGTACTGAGATTGAAAAAGAAAAAAATATCAATAATTCTGTTTTGGAACTGCAGTGTTGAAACTAGAATTTTAACGCAACTGAATTATTCTGGAAGGTATTTATTTTTTTCATTTTATTCCGGTTATTATACAGGGTGTCCGGAAATACCGTTCGAATAATTCTAGGGGTAATTCTACATGTTAAACTAAGAAGAAAAGTTCATATGAACATAGGTCCGCAAATGCGTCATAAGGTTGCCATGGCGATTCAAAGATTGCACCGGGATATAGGTTTTATTTTATGTCTCTGGAACCGTTTCAGATAGCCATCTGAATTTTGGCATATGAATTGCCTTTAATAGTAGGTATTTTTCAGTGTTTTTACTAAATTATTATTTTAATCAGGGGCGTACCGACAGGGGAGGCCTCGATTTAATTTGTTCACATTTTTATTAAACGTCATATTTTTGCAGTTTTCTTTAGAAATTCTGATTCCGATAAATGACCTAAAAAGGTATTCTTGTAGAAAACCTGTCAGGTATTGTTAAATAGTGATAAAAAAGAAACGGTAAATGGAAAACAGATTTATAATAAAAAAAAACCAGAAACAAATAATACTAGTGACTTATTATTAAACCTGAATGTTACTTCTTTAGTTACAGCAAGTATTGAAAGTGATGTCCATTCATTTCAATGCAACTGGCTAAACGATTTCTCATTGAACGTTTAACTCGTTGAAAAACACCATGCATATTCCGTATTTCTTGGCAACAATGAATGACTCTCTGTTCTAGTTGTACACTGTCCACAGGCACTGAATAAACTAAGTGTTTTAAATAACCCCATAGAAAATAGTCTAACGGATTAAGATCCGGCGAACGGGGAGGCCAAGCTACGGGTCCACCTCGTCCAATTCACCGATCTGGATAAGTCTGATTTAGATATTGTCGAACTAATAAACTGAAGTGGGATGTAGCCCCATCGTGTATAGAAAATGTTTCTAATCTTAATCCATAAGGCAAATCTTCGAGCAAAACTGGTATAGTGTTTTGTAGAAAATGTAAGTATGCGGGCCCATCTAAACGATGCGGCATAACATATGGTCCTAGTAACCTATTTCCTATAATACCTGCCCAAACATTAATGGAAAACTTATCTTGGAATCGAGCTTCGAAAATCGCGTGAGGATTTTCATCTGACCAAATATGATTGTTATGAAAATTTACCACTCCTTCACGCGTAAATCCTGCCTCGTCTGTAAACAAGACTTTATCGAGGAAATGACGGTCCTGATGGCATTTCATCTGCATCCACTGACAAAACTCCACTCTAGGCAAAAAATCCCGAGGTTTTAGCGCTTGAATTCTTTGCAAATGGTATGGATACAAAAGTTCCTCGTGTAAAATTTCCCATACAACACTTTTGGGAATATTCGTTTGTACTGAAATTCTTCTGGTGCTACTACCTGGATTAGCTTCAATCTGTTGTAGAACAATTTCCTCTGTCTGCGCCGTTCGGGTAGTACGGTTTCGTCCACAATCTCTCTTATTTGGCGTAAAATTACCAGTTTCTCTTAATCTCTGATGTAAACTGCTGAACAGTTTATCAGAAGGAAGCTGGCGATTTGGAAAAGTTTCTTGGTACAACCTCCGAGCTTCCAAAGCACAACCGTTTGCTTTGCCATACATGAAGTGCATGTCGGCCATTTCAGCAAAAGAGTATTCCGGCATTTTTTGAAAGACGAGAACAATGATTTTTTTCAATTACACTGTTATTAACACAATAATAATCGAATAAACTTTATTTTTAAACCTTATGTCAAATTCGTTTACCGTAACTACAGTAATTTGACCTTTTTCCATTTTCAACTTAGCACCGACATAAGCCTACTTTGATGTAGAAATTTTTATTATTGGGCGACCATGCATGCACTATTTTCTTTGGAGAGTATTTTCTCGAAAACGGCTAGCCTGACAGGTTTTCTACAAGAATACCTTTTTTATGTCATTTATACCGCGGAATCAGAATTTCTAAAGAAAACTGCAAAAATATGACGTTTAATAAAAATGTGAACAAATTAAATCGAGGCCTCCCCTGTCGGTACGCCCCTGATTAAAATAATAATTTAGTAAAAACACTGAAAAGTACCTACTATTAAAGGCAATTCATATGCCAAAATTCAGATAGCTATCTGAAACCGTTCCAGAGATATAAAATAAAACCTATATCCCGGTGCAATCTTTGAATTGCCATAGCAACCTTATGACGCATTTGCGGACCTATGTTCATATGAACTTTTCTTCATAGTTTAACATGTAGAATCACCCCTAGAATTATTCGAACGGTATTTCCGGACACCCTATATATTTTTAATATAATGATATAGTTGAATAAATCTAAAATAATTCCAAAACATTACATATAAAGTTACTGGCGTAGGATTTTTTTTATTTTCGGAGAAATATTGGAGAGAGAACATAACTCCCTAAACATTTTGAAAATATTACGCCAACATTTTTTTTACTTCTAACATTTTATTTAACAGAATGTCGTCAGATAACGCCCGAAATGCTTCGAAATGTTCGTTCGGAAGTGGAGCAAAGATTTTATTATTGTATAGTCTACAAGCCCATCGGAAATTTTCAAGGGGTTTGGCCCAGCATGAATTACTTATTAATCAATACTACCACATATAACAATAACTTTAGAAACTATGCCGTCAATTCTTGTTGGTACAGGTGAGTACACAGGTAAGCTAAACCTGTGCACCAGTGGTTTTAGGCAAAACATTTTTGAACGGAATTTCTAAAGTATATAGGTTATACAAAAAAAAATGAACCTCCACCTAATGCCGTACAAAAATAGTAATACCGGAAGCCAGGGGTTAGGAATACAGTGTGCAACCCTCTAATTGTAAGTAGCGTATGGGGGGGTGATTTGAACCAACATCAAATTTACTAATTCTAATTCTAGTTTATAAAATAATGACATACAGGGTGGCCAAATGAAAACGAAACAGTCATTTTCAGGAACGGCATAGTTTCTAAAGTTATTGTTATATGTGGTAGTATTGATTTAGAAGTAATTCATGCAGGGTCAAATGACCCCAAACCAAAATTTAAAAAGTCGTATGTCGTCGTGAGTAGAATTGAAAAAACTTTATAAAATGAGGTGTCACTCAACACAGGTTTTTGTTGGCTTTTTTTAATTTCGATATTTTCCAGGTAGGAAGTTTTACCTGAAACACCTTATAAGGCTATATTTATCGAAAATATCCTCAGTCATCTAAAATTTGAGAATTATTTTTTAACCATTAGATTTGTAGTAGAGTCGTAATACTGTTCCAAACTTCATTGTTCAAAGGGCTATGACAAGGAATTAGTGCAATGTGTACGCGCTCAATCTGTGCATCCGTGATACATCCAGTGCCTATATAAAAATGTTCTAAAGAAATCCTTGTTCATCCCTAAAAAGACCTAGGACATCCTCATAGGTGTATGCCCCCCCCTCTTGCATGCCCATTTATAGCCAGCTATTGCAGCGTTTGCATGATGCGGCATTTGTTTACGTTTGACAAATATTTGGCAAGTGGGAAGGCTTAAGAGTTTGTAGTTATGTTTCTCCAAAGATATTCGTATTATTTTTAGGGAATGAAGGTGGAACAGATACGACTGTTACTGTTAATGAAACCTAATGTAAGATTGTTGACTTCGACTTTCAAATTTTTTTAAAACGTAGCCAAATAAAAATTCGTAAGGTCCATATTATTTTCTCAAAGAAATAAGTGATATTCTTTCATGCACGAATACGTGCGTGCGAAAAAGCGTGTTATGCTAACACTAAAATACTTACCACCACCCGGCTTCTTCCTTTTCCGAGAAGTAACTACTTCCGGCCTGGTAACTGGAATACTTGGATTAACTTTTTTAAAAGTCACAACTATCATGCAAAAAAAAAAACAAAACCAAACTCAGTAAAAGATTAAAACAATATTAGGTAAGCAGCACTTTACCTCCAGCGTCGCTCTCCTTGATGCCAATGGGGACATGGTGCGGACTGCTATTGATCCCCAACAATTCTTTAAGCCTCGCCAACCTGGCGTATATCTTAGACTTATTCCGTTTGTATTTTATATACGTCTTCGTTCTCGACACCGATGTGGTTTTGAATGGGGATATTCTCGGCGACAACTGGCTGATACTCACACTGTTCATTTTATTAACGTGAACTAGAACTCCTGGTTGCAAAGGCCACTTTGATAGATCGGTTATGAGGCAATTACCATCAGGACTTTATATATTTTCGGACGGATTCGGAACAAGTTACACCATTAACGAGCGGGATATGTAATTGAACAAACAATACACAACGGTACCCAATAAGCGAAGTTCGCAAAGCAAAACATGGAACAAAACGAAAACAAAACACTGCGTTAGTTGGATAAACAAGTGATGTGATGGGGAAGGCGGCTACATTGTACGCCGGAAAATACAATTCGCATGTGAAGGAAACGAAAAATTGCCTACATATTCTCAACAGCGAACCTGAGGCAGTTTATAATACATAATTTAAATGGTTGTTTTCCTGAAAAAAAACTCAATTATTGTGTGTACTGAATGGAATTGTTTAAAATCCCCTTCAAATAGCTAATTAATTCAAAAGTATCAAGAAATATGAAACAATAAGTGTATTTGGAGATGTCAACAGAACATATCAAATTTCATTGTGTAGATTTCCTTTTTTTTGGGATATTTTGCCACTATAAATTAAAAAACATACATCCCTAAGCCACAATATTATAAAGGGTCCCAAAAGTAACACAGGATTTCATTCCGAAGAGTTGATAGCATTGTGCTGGGTCACATGTTGCGTTTAGACAAAATTGAGCGCCGTAAGACGGATGAGCTAGCGAAGATTGTGAAAATTCATTACAAGTGCAGAGAGTGTGTAGCTGAGACTGTGCGCAAATTACGTAGATTTTTCGGTAGAAGGAGCGCCCCGAATGAAACAACTCTGAAAAGACTAGTTATCAAATTTGATTTGGACTAACAGTTCGGTTGCAGACAATAAAAAAACGGGCCTTCTTCGTACTGATCGTTCATCTACTTCAGTGATAATGTGGCGGAAATTTCCGTAACCTCAGTACGCTATCGGTCACTGCAATTAAACACTTTAAAAAGCACAATCAGCGGATTTTAACAAAAGATATGCATCTGCATCCATTCAAGATCCAGCTAACCCAGGAATTGAAACCAGAGGATCATTTAATGCGACGTTCGTTGATTGGATGTTGGAGAATCAAGTGGACGAAGATTTTGCTAAGAAAATCATCTTTAGCGACGAAGTGAATTTCCATCTTAGTGGGTATGTGAACAAGCTAAACTGTCGAATTTGGAGCAGAGACATTCCTCAGTCATTCAAGAACTACCACTGTATATACAAAGAGTCACAGTGTGGTGTGGATTTTACGCTGGTGGAGTAATTGGTCCGTTCATTTTTGAAAATGAGACTTAAAATGCAGTGACTTCAATGGAGAATTATATCGAGAGATGCTATTAAACTTTTGGCCTCATTTGGCATGGATTTGGATGACATGTTCCAGCAGGATGATACCGCACGTGAAACTATCCACTTGTTATGGCAGAAATTTAATGAATGACTCATCTCACGTAATTTCACTGTTACGTGGCCACCAAGATGATACGATCTTACGCCATGTGACCTTTTCCTGTGGGGATTCGTAAAGTCCAAAGGTTATTCTGCTAATATCCTCTTTCATATTCAATGGCAATGTCTCCCCTTTATAAATATGTAGAACTTTGCCATCTTTTTAATTAATAAAATCCTACGTTTCTTTTGGGACACCTTTTATTTCCCTTATTACATTACGATGCACACAAAATGTATTAATATTGCAAATATTCTATCATTTTATTATTTCTAAATGTTTGAATACCAATTTCTAACTTGAACACTAGACTGCAGTAATCATATTACACAATTAATTCTAAAAATGGACTATATCATGTATACTTCTATTGAAATTATGAAAACTACTACTTTTATATGCAAAGTTTAGATCAAATACTCATTTGTCCATAACCGTTTCAAGAAATTGTCCAGATACAAACTGGAAATCGATAAGCTCTTAGCAATAGAAGGTTAGAATTTTTAAATCTGTAATGGAGTTGTTGACATTTAACGTGGGTCCATTAGTTGCGGGCCAGTAACTCTCAAAGGGACCCATTCTCGGTGTCTTAAGCACCTTAAGGTCATCCGTAGGCAAAAATTATAAACTACCCGCCGGTATGCTTCACGGTGAGTTGTGCCGCCCTAAGCTTGAAACATAAAATATGCATGCACTTACCACCACCTGAAAATCCTCAGAATTAACATTTGCGCATATACGGAACCCATTTAACATGCACTAAAGTTTAAGTATATTAATACGTAAAGTTAGTAAATAGTTAAAGTAGATAGTAGTACCTTGGTTTCCCAGATAAGTGACCCTGCCGCAGGGCACTAAAGGCAAGCCAAGTACATCAGGACTTTGTGTGCACAGAAACCTGAGAAGGGTAGCAATATGTTAATTAAATTCGAAAACAAGTATGTACCATTAAATACAAGACATCCACACGCCAGAGTGTTAGTGTTAGTTGGTTTATTATGAGAGATTACGATATCCAGTTTCAACTTCATTAAGGAGTCGCTTAAACCGCATAAAATTCTGCCACGGGAATTGTAGTTATGCAGCTAGTTAAAGCGAAAACCTTTCGTAACATCAAAATAATGAACAATTTGCTGTACAGCAGCTTCAACCGCATGAAATGTCTCATAAAAATTGAAGACAGTATTTCCTTCCACTAATTAAAATACCTAATCCCGTAGGTAGTTATTCCACAGGGGTTAGAAGTTTGACTGCCTTAATTTTAACAGACGATAAAATACATTAAAATAGACAAAAAACCTTGTATGACATGGGTCCTAAACTCAACCATTTCCGAGAAAAAAATTATCAAAATCTCCAATTTGATGTATAAAAGTTCGATTAATTAAAGAGTATTGACATGACTGCGTGCATAGAATACCATATACAAGTAATACAATGTTTATCACTTTCTTGATGCTTAATTCTAAAAAATAATTATCGTTGTAATAAAAAAATTCGATAAAATTCATATCAAGCAATGTGACAATGGCGTGGTAGATAACACGAGGTACTAAGCTGTCCAGCAATACGAAATTCAGTTGGTATCTGGAATTGGACCGTGTCTAAGTGTCTTTTGCGTAGCACTATTTTCTTTTCTTCATGTGTTTTCCAGCGATCGCGTGAAAATTGGATTCGAAGGTGTCGTGCGTGCGTCGAAAATGCTGGTGTACATTTTGAGCATATGTTGTAGTTTGTTTTGTACTTGTGCGTGTAAAAATTACTGAATTTTGCTTTTTGGTAAGTACCTAAATTATTTTTAATACGTTTGATTATTTGGATGACGTGAATCTTTGGGTACTTTAATTACATATTTTAAATTCATAATTTGATTAAATGTTAGGTTCCTGTTTTAAGAAATTCATAATTACTAAAATTCGAGCTTAAATTTAAGCACAAAACTATCTTCATACTACAAAATCGATACATTTTATTTATTTAAAAACCGGAAAACAATTATCTTGAATTAAAACTTAATAAATGTTTCGCAATAATAGATGTTTACATTTTTTCCGTAGGACAAGTCTGCCGCATGCACACGTGGTATGCACCAGCTGTGTAGCTGTAGGTTAAACGCTGTTGTCTCGTTGTAATGAATCTCTCCAATATTAATACTCGATGTAGGTATTTCGAAAACTGTTAATCTAACGCCCCTGCAATATACAACTTTTTCGTTCATTTATGATTACTCCATCTCATGCTGAAGTAATGGCAGTCAAACTTCTTACACCCTGTATAGTATTAGCTTACTGATTGTAGTAAGACTACATTTTTTTCTCTGTGATGTAAAGTAAATAAAATCGTAAAGAAATGGTCTAGGGAATGTTCCTTGGTCAAAGTTAGCAAAGCAGTAGTTGAAATGAACTAAAGATAAATTTCGACTCCTTTTGAAGATATAACTGCTTGGATGTGATCTGTTGGCAGTGGTTTCCTTAATTACCTTAAGTATCAATATTCATATTACAAGGTCGCTTAAAATCCAATCTTTTCCAGGTTTTTTCTTGGAAAATGCATGAAAGAGTGACGGTAATTAAAAAATATGTACCTTCATTTAACGGTTGCGACCAGGAATAACACATAAAATAGACTGTAGAAAATATTTCTTATTGAATATTTAATACGCAGAATCAATTACATTTTAAATGTGTTGTATAGGTAGCGAATGTAAAAAATTTATTTTTTATTTTCATTTTCTTTTTTCTTATACTGTGAGTATCCACAACGCGTTAAAGATCTTAAATGTTGGTATTTATATTTATTTATCTTTGATGATGAATTTCACAACTGTCTTCGACGTGTTTAATATTTTTGAACAAGGGCGCGACGAGATACGTTTTTCTTTTGAAAACAGTATCCTTTATCATTTTTTGCAGTTACCGGGTAACCTAATTGTATGAATATCAAACATCAACGTTCAAAAACGTGTACTAAATTTGATTTTCATAATTCAACTCGTTTAAAAGATATTTAATAAATTTATCGATCATCTTTAGGCTGAAATTAGATTTGATTCTTAATTCAATTGAAGTTATTATATTAAAATTGACTCGATAATATTCAGTAAAAGTCTTCTAGTTGAATTAAGTTATGTAAATCTTGTTTAACTGTGGATATTGCTAATAAAATGAATGAAAATGTATGTGTACAAAGTGTTGGGTTTTATAAACAAATAGTTCTGGGGACACAATTACGTTTGGATAGCAAATTTTTTGGTAACATTTTTAATTAGAAATAAAAGTCTAGTTAACATTTAATTCATTTTCATCTAGTTCAAAATAAATTCGTGCTTATGTGGCAAAAGTTTCTTATTTAAGTATAATAGCTTTTCTTGATTTTTGTACCACTTTATTTTAGCTTCCATGGATGCAATGAATTTATTTATCAAATTCTCCGATACGCGGAATTTCTAAAGGACGACAACTTCAAAAGCTCTTGAAAAATTAATAAGGTTTCGAGGAGTAGATGTGCATTAGTTGAACGGACACTAAATTTTTTTGGGTATCTTTATTTTTATTTTTCGCAGTACATATTGAAAGGTCTATTTTCCTTCACAAATTTCTTATTCACATTTTGTTGGATTCAGAATAATTGAATGCATCGATTTGTTTATCATGAGATTTATTTATTAGTCAATCTTCACTAGCTTGCAGATATTAGAGAGAGAGAGTTGGGTTTAACTTTATATTATGTTTTTTACATTTCTAGTACTTTTTTAATTTTCCATACAAAATTACTTTCTCAAAGCATGTAAGTTATTTGATTAATTTTAATATATAAACCGCATGTTTCTAAATAAATTCAAACCTACCTCTTGGCAATATGAAAATATGCTGTAAACATGCTGGTAATAAAGTAATAAAAGTGAACAACTGTTTCCAGAAACACTTAAATTTTCATTACTGTTCTCTATGTTTGAAGAAACACCATTTTCTCAGCAAATTCTGGACCTCATGAGTAAAGAGCGGCATCACATAAAAGTTGATGTTTTCAATCAAAAGAGATGTGTGTTGCAGCAATATAGAATTGTATTGTATACTGTACGTACAAAATAATATAAAATCTTACGCGCCCATCTCCAGCTTTTGATTTTGAGTGGACCTCTATAAAACGCGGAAGAGAAGTTCGCAGAGTTTTTACAACAATTTAGTTGAGCAGCTTTAAGAGGTATCTAGTTTATACTTGGGGGTGAGTCCTCTTGGAAAAATACTGGGGGTAATTCATATAATTCTCGTTCACGTTGCGTTTCGAAGATACAGGATCTGTAAATCCGCCATCCCAACCAGCTGCTCCTGCATGTCATTCCTTCTATCCGAATTATTTGTATCCTCAGAGGAAAAATAGGATTATGGATATACAGGGTGTTAATGATAAGTTTTGCCAAACTTTAATGGCGTATTCTACCGATAAAAATAATCAAGTTTTGTCCTATAAAAATTTTTGATTGGACGCTTCCCTACGGAGATACAGGGTGTTAAAAGTTTCAAATATTTATATTGTTTTTCCTGTAACTTCACTGGTATAATTGATCGAGTGACAAAATTTGGAGGATGACATTTTTTTTTTAGTAGGCACTATTTTTTCATGGATAACTTATTCCAAAATAGACTCCAGTGGCGTAGTTATTGGGGGAGTGGGGGAACTTTTTTGAAGAAAAAATCGTACGCCACTGGTTTTTTAAATAATTTTAAATGTTTTTAAAATGTACAATCAATTTGTGGCAATAAAGTATTCTTGTAAATTATTCGTAAAATTTACTGGTCTTTGGATAATTGGGAAACCAAAAAAATAAGTATCTTATTTGTTTTGACAAAATTTATCATCAGCACCCTGTATGTAATTAGACAAATACTGATGTCAATAAACAATATGCCGCTCTATACTCATAAGCATCTGTTTCCTTCATATTTACCCTATAGTACTTCTAACTAATCTGAAGCGGTTTGTACAAACATTTATGCGTAGGTAGTATATTATATTGAACAAGTCTTTATATTTTGATGCGTTACTATGAAATTTTTCCAATAACTGGAGTACATTTTATTATAGAACCATTACAGGTCATATGGCACCGCTCTGTTTAGAAATAGAAGTATGGGTCATATAATACACCGCGTAATGTGTCTTACAAAGTGCAAACTTTTTATTTTGTAATCGAAACCACTCTTGTAAAAGACAAAGTTCTGAGAAACATTTTACACACCTTAAACATCTTCTGGTATCCCAAACAGAAAAAGGTCCGAAATAATGCAAAAAATCAAAGCCTACTGCACTTATCCAGTATTTTATCGAGAGAAGCTTTTCTTAAGACTTTTCGTCGCACCTCATATAAAAAAAGCACTTTATATGTACAAATTTCCAAGGTTTACTTGATTTTAAGCTTTTGAAATCAAGACGGATTTTGTTTTATAACCCTTACAAGATTCATTTCACGCTACGTATTAAGGTAATTTATTAAATAAATATTGTTATTTTTTGCGAAACGTTTTCTGATGGGTTTATGATTACCTAGTGCTTCTGCCAGTAAAAGAAACAAACAAAACCGATTTTCTCTAACGTACCGCACAGTTCTTAATAATGCGTATAGATTAAGGGAATCAACATGTAAATAACGCAGAGAACAGGAAGATATAAACTTAGTTTTAGATAATACTAAGGAATAGGTCCCAAAACATAAATGTATTAACAAAAGCTCCATTTTCTGTGTACCCAAGATATGATTGATTAACCTCATCAAAAAATCGAGCCATGTACACAATATTTTATTTCATATATCAATAACTAGATATTCATTTTTTTGCAACAGATTACATTGAGATATATTCGAATAAATTTTAGAGATGGAATCTGATTGTAGAATTTAACTTCTATAAGCTTTTTGGGACTTGTCTGGGGAATCGAGTAGAATGGGACTCAACAAATAATATATTGAAGAAGAGACAGTGGCATGGGAGCTAGAATAGTAGGATTGGAGCCCAGATGGTAAAGAAGATGGAAGCCTTTCCTATAGTATTCTAAACAGAAATCTTCGCTGCAAGTGGAAGTTTTATAGAATGAACCGGCAATGACAAATACCAACATGGTTGGGTGTTGCGACATAGAAGCACCGAAGGAAAATAGAAACGCAAATTAACTTTCAAAAAAGTAATCTGAGACAGTTATCTTAGACAAGAGACAATGTTTTTGACATTGTTTACAGTACCATAAAGCAGGCTATTGGTTAAGGCCAGGTCAAACTTAAGCGGAAGAGATGTTGTCTCGAAGAAGAGTTTGAATGAAATGCTAAGTATAATCGCAGAACTTTCAACGAAATTTTGACAGAGAGTTCAATCTTCCGGGATTGGCACTGGGAAGGGCTCGTGTTGCGCATCCTGGGTGACTTTGAGGACTTTGGATGGCAAATATTTAAGTTCCTTGGCAAACTTATTAATAAACACGCAGTGGAAAGCTCAGTAACCTATAATTGGTAGCAGAGGTTTAGTCTTCTCTGTAGAATTGATTCAAGGAAAAATTAAAGAACAAGAATAGTATTCTGGAGCAGGCAGAATCAAAATCGTCAAGTAAAGTTCCAGTTGCAATTAAGAATGAGCATCAAATGAATTTCCAGATATGTATTACTCGTCGCATTATACATTTGGTTCGCCTTATCTATATGCACCTTTACGAAAAGGAGTTCATGGATATTTTGTATTTTGTTGAAGTAATTTAACGCGTAGCTGCAGATCTACTTCTAGCAATATTGTGCAATATTTATTTGCGATAAAAATAGAACAACTAAAAAAAGTGAAAAGTGCTGCGTAAATACAAAAATAAAATTAAAAATCTAAGGGTTGGTAAAAATCGACTAAACATTCATGTCTTCAGGCAACATATTCTTACCTTAAGTAAATAATATAGAGAATGTCTTGAAGTTGTGGAGAAAGAAACAAAAAACTAAAACCAAGAAAGAAGAAACAAGCGGAAAGAAATAGTTATCACAAATTCTATTGCACAGATAGGACCTTTAAAAAAACCGCCACCGTAGTAGAAATATAAATTTACTTTTTATTATACATAGTATACATATTTATCTTAAAACAAATCCTAACAAAAAACTTACTTTTCACGTTCTTCCATCTCCAAAGGGTTGTTGTCTGTGGCAAGCAAAAAACAAACAATTCTGTTAGTTCACAAAAAACTAGGATGTATGAGTATACATTTATTGTCTTATAGTAAGCTGTAGTATCTTGGGATTCGGGTGGGGAGATTAGCTAAAACATCAATCATGGAAATTGACTCACATTTTGTGTCCGCGCGCTTCCTTCTGCACAGGATGATGATAATAACGCAAATTATTATTACGATATTAATAATTGCTATTATCGACGCAATGATTATTATCATTTTGTCCTGGTTGAGCTGTTTCCACCAAGGAAGGTTACCTGCAAAGAAAGTTCTTTCAAACAGACTATTAAAGTAGTATAATAAAAAGAATAAATAAATAATGAAATATCCGTTCTCAGATTTGATCGTTGAATTATCATTATTTGGCAGAGCTATTTTTGCATTTTGGAAATATTTTGTCTCCATAATAATGTCCCACGTTATTCTCGAATATCAACAATTTAAAAAATCGAAGAGATCGAAACAGTCGCCGTACAAAAACTGTATTAGGGGCTCGCTACAACCGTTTCAAGTCTCAAATTACGCCATTTGTCAAACTGATTCAGGAGTTACGTAACACCCATCTAGCGGGAAAAATTCGAACTACCGATTATTTTTGGGTTCTCTCTCGTATTGTAGTGTCCGTACTTATGTGACTCTGAAGACAAATCTACGACATGAATTAAGAAAATAATACCTCGGATTATGAGTTCAAATCACTGAATATTAGGCTATTGATTATAGGATTTTGAAAGGAACTATGACGTTCAAGATATTTTATTACATGAATCGTTCAGATGGCCATTTTAACTGAAAAAAAAACGCGGAGTGCTATTAAATTAGAGGGTGGAAATTGGAGATAGGGGTGAAAATGCACCCCTTTCAGTTTTTTAACTGTATCTCGAAAACGAAGCAAAATTTCGCTGTAGTTCATAGGAAAAATTATTTAGAGAATTGAATTTCCCAGGCTTATTTAAAAAATTTAAAAGGAAAATTATATGCAAAAATTCATTAATAAACAATTTGAAAAAAGCAAAAAATTCGATTTTTTTAATTTTTTTTTTACTTTTTTGGCTCTAAGTTGTGAAAATCTTTATTTATTATTAACAAAGAGGTGCATTTTCACTGCTATCTCCAATTTCCACCCTCTAATTTAATAGTACTCCGCGGGTTTTTCATCTAAAATGACCCTCTGAACGATTGATGCAAAAAAATTGCTTGAACGTTCCTTTTAACCTTGTTTTTTGGATATAATAGCCTATCTCATTTACAAACAAGCTTATATGGCCTAACGACTGGTTCTATTATTTACAATTGAAAATAAATTAACACAATGCGTTTTGAGTATCAGAGGAAAGGTTAATTGCATTTGAGTGACCTCTGTGAAGCTACTAATACTGGAGTGGACAAGTGAGTGATGTGAGAAATGTGTAATACTGTCAAAATATATATAGTCCAGTCGACAGAGGCCGAAAAGTTACTGTTGGTGACATTTCCTTGATAACTCGGAAATAACTACACAGGCCTAATTTAAATGATGAGTACAATAACAGGCTAATTTGCTGACAAAGTATTTTATCAGGAAAAAAAATATTAACAATTTAATCGTGAAAAAAATTTTTTTTAGTAGTTTTCTTTAAATAACTCAGCAGGATGACTTTGTACGAAAAAATGCTTAGGGCATGATTTTGTTCGTAATAAAAATAGCTACAAAATGGCGGCGGTCCGATTACGAAATTTGCAATAACAAAGCCGTGAGATTGAAAAAACGGTGTAAAATGTCGTTTTAAAGTTGCTGTAAAAATGTCAATTATACACAAAAAGTGATAAAACTTTCGAAAACTATAGTTCAATATATATACAATAATGACACTAAAGCCGAAAATCAGGAGAGCAAAACTTTTTGTTCTATAAGGTTTAATACAGCCATCGGCATCTGAAACTCGAAACTTTGCCAAATTTGTTTGAAATTTTGCCGACACTTGTTTGGTACACACATAGTGTAAATATGCAGAAACTAAAAGCAATTTGCAAAATTCAAGTAGCTTCATTTTTGCAGCTTTGGTAAGGTTTTATACGTCACCCTTGTTTTATACGTCACCGTTTTTTTAAATTTTTGGAAAAATATATGTGAATATTTAGAAAATATTCCATCACGGTAGATTAACCATCACAATTACCTACAATTAAAAAAAAATAATAATAATTTTCATCGTTTAGATCCTAAGCTACTTAACATTTTGCACCTGTTAGCCCTAGTCGTACATTATTCAACATATCAACATAAAACAAAATCGTACGTGTGGGGTAAACCTTTAACTTTTCATTTTCGAGCGCGAGCTCCGCTCTTCGGCGCTTGTATACTATTAGAAATATGCAACAGTAAATTTAAACAATTGTTTACTTAAAGTTAAAGGTTTACCCCACACGTACGTTTTTGTTTTATGTTGATATGTTGAATAATGTACGAGTATGACGTATTGTAACAGGCGCAAAATGTTACGTAGCTTAGGATCTAAACGATGAAAATATATATTTTTTTAAATTGTAGGTAATTGTGCTGGCTAATCTACCGTAATGGAATATTTTATAAATATATATAAATATATGTCCAAAAATTAAAAAAACGGTGACGTATAAAACTAGGGTGACTTATAAAACCTTAACAAAACTTCAAAAATGAAGATACTTGAATTTTGCAAATTGCTTTTGGTTTCTGCATATTTACATGTGTGTACCAAATTTCAAGTGTTAGCAAAGCTTCGAACAAATTTGGCAAATTTTTAATTTCAGATGCCGATGCATGTATAACACCTTGTATAACAAAAAGTTTTGCTCTCCTGATTTTCGGCTTCAGCATCATTATTGTATATATATAGAACTATAGTTTTCGAAATTTTTATCACTTTTTGTTTATAATTGACACTTTTACAGCAACTTTAAAAAAAGACGTTTTTTACCGTTTTTTCACGGCTTTGTTATTGCAAATTTCGTAATCGAACCATCGCCATTTTGTAGCTATTTTTATTACGAACAAAATCATGTCCTAAGCATTTTTTCGTACAGTCATCCCGCTGTTATTTAAAAAAACTACTAAAAAATTTTTTTTTCACGATTAAATTGTTAATAACTTTTTTCCTGATAAAATACTTTGTCAGTAAATTAACCTGTTATTGTACTCATCATTTGTAGGCCTGCGTAGTTATTTCCGGGTTATCAAGGTTTGACACAGGCCGAACCTCTACCAGCTGGACTAATATCAAAGTAAAAATATTAAGAAATAACACATTTTGGGAACAATATTTCTACAATAAATATTATATAAAGTTATATATTTCATAAACCAGTTCCTGTTTCCAATTTTTGTGTATTTGGAAAATTATACTAAGATAATTTATTTAATTCACTTGTATTGAATTAGTTTCAATCCAAATTTAGTGACTGGGCATTTTAACCTACGTACTTTTCCGTGACTAAACCAGGAGAAAAGCGTGAAAGTGCATGACGAAACATCCAACATGCTTTGAAAATTTACCTGGTTCTCCGATCTGTTTACTTTGCTCCTGGTACGCTAAAGGACACCAATTGGATACATACATAAACATTTTAACGGTGGTAATATTCCACTCACCTGCAACATCTCTTTCACATGGTGTGCTGCTTCCGACCGAATTGTTCGCGGAACAGTAATACGTCCTAGCCGTGTCTACGCTGGAATCAAGATAGAGATAGCTTTGCAAGTCAGCGGATTCTATTTTTGACGTTATGACGAAGGTCTCGTTGGACTCCCTTACCCTCCAGGTAAACGTAACTTCTGGAGGATTGGCGTGGACTGTGCACAGCAACGCCGGACTGGAGTCTCTTTCCACTATCGATATGGAACACTCTGGAGCATCTAAAAATGAAAAAAAAAATACACTTAAAGGTACTTCCAACAGTCCTTCAAAATTTATCTTGAAGCAAAGTATAACAGTCTTACACTGAATGTTGAAATAGGCCACGGCAAATTTGGTTCCATGTTTGTTTTCCGCCTCGCAAGTGTATCCGCCGGTATCCGACCTCTTCATTGGTCCTAAAACTAAGTCTTCGTTTCCGGATATCGGTTCAGATGTAGCGTTCTTCCTCCATTTATACGTAAGTTTAGGACGTCCTTCGCCATGACACTTAACTGGACTTGGAATTTGGTGTTCAACAACGTTAATGATCTTAGGAGAAACATGGACGTTTTCCGGAAGATCTAAAACAGTTTTGTGAAGTTACACCTGTTATTTTATAACACTAAGTGGTCGTTAGCTGAAGAATAAGAAATAACATTTGTACTTTTAAAGATTCACTGTCTTTGACTTACAATCTACTGCGATTTCAATTGTTGAATTAACCCCAAGTCCAAGCGAGTTGTTCATACTCTCACAGGAGTAATGGGAATTTGGAGAACTTTTATTTAGCTGTTTTTCAGGCCATCGATCCATGTTCCATATCTAAAAAGTATATTTACATTTGCAAAATTTTCTCCGTTTAGTAAGGTTTATACCTACTAGAGTCGAATTGATTGACTCAAAGTCGTTTCTCCTGTAGTCTGGAGGTAGTTTTCTCGTTTCCACTCTATATAGCGAGCTGTCGTCCGTATTTAGTATGATGCCATCCTTTTTCCAGATTATTGAACATTCAGGATAACATTCAACGATACAGGTTAAATCTATGTGTTTGGAGGAATACAGAACACCTCGGTACGATGGAAGTTTCTGAATGAATGAAGGAGGAGCTAAAAACTGCTATAATCACACAATTGAAACTTTATGGACAGGGCGTTCTCAGATACACATTACAACTAATTACTTTTGTAAAACATTTTGATAATTTTTAAAAAATTACTTGTTACATCTTGTCACCAACATGAATTTTAACTCAATATGTGTTTGAAATTAAAATAATTTCTAGAAGTGATACTACAGAAGGAAGACAATGTCTATTTTCTTATATTTTTATTTCCAGCAGCGTGGAATTTAAGATTTGATCATTGAATAGAATTTAGTTTCATACACTTGTTATTAAATTACCAAAATTAAAATCTACCAAATTACGTCAAATCATATTTATAAAAAATGTGAAATTTAAAAATAATGATAATTTGCCTGAATTTGAGCACAAAACAACCAAATAAAATGATTTTCTCTCATAGTTGTAGTTTTTTTTTTTATAAATAATACTGTATCAACTATGAAAAATTGCTTAATCTAAAAAAATAACTGCAAAATAATAATTTAAAAAAATTAAAATTGAGATTATGTAACTCTGTTAATATTGAATTTTCGAAAAGATATCATACGAAGTAGAATTACTATTAATTTTTTTCCTGTGACTTCTAGACACGCTGTATAAGTAAGAACATATTAACTGAAAACGAAATGTTACTATAACACCGATACAATAGTGTCAGATGGGTACACTGAAAAAATTCCTAAATGTACAGGGAAAAGGACAAAATTTCCGCCTGGATTTTAACAGAATTAAATGGAACTGGCATGGACTAAATTGAACTGCTTTGGGATTCTGTAAGTTTATTTAATGCTATTTAGAAATACACTTAGAAATTTTATTCCTGCTCGATGGTGAGGCCTGAACAAGCATATAATTACTATCAATAATTTCACATTTTATTACATCAGTGCAGTCAATATACATACAATCCATTCGCCTGTAAAAAACACAAATGATTCTTTCATATCTATGTCTAGTACGCATCTGTAGGCATGACAAAACGATAACTGTTTGTATATTCTATAGTCTGTAGGTAATTTGTATGTAAGGTGGCAAAATTGCAAAATTTAACAGCGAGTTGTCTGCTGAAAAAAGAATATAGCCTTTCTATATAAAAAAACAAATTTTTACCATATTTTAGTTTGGAATACCTAATTTTGCGTAAATCCTGATTTGGTAGATTCACAAATTTAGAATATTTTCCCCTAGAACTATGGAAAAATACTCAATCTGATATCACTCCTCCGAGAACATGTATCAACTCAGTTGGAAATTCAAAATTCAAAAATAAAAATTATTTTGCTTTATTCAGAATGTCTTTAAATACTTTACTCAAGCAATCACCTGTATGCCTTCTTCTTTTAGAAGCACTCTGCATGGTATCAACAAACCCATTCACAATACATTACTTACCATTCACATTTATAAAGATCGTGGCACTCTCGCCAATTCCGTCTTCGTTTACAACAGAACAAGTAAAATTGCTCCTGGTTGCTACTGTTACAGGTGATATCGTAAAATTGGAAACCATAACATCGATCATTTTGTATATACCTCTATACCAGGTGTAAGTCAAATTATCAGAATTACCAAAATTCTGTACGATACACTCTAAAGTTACATATCCTCCCTTCACCACATCCGAAGGGTGATACCTGAGGACGACAGGGCCGAAGGGATCTAGAAAACTTCAATGTAATGCCTGTTTGATATTTCTTTGCGATGTTTACAATATACACAATTAATCCCCTGGATAACAAGGCAAAAATGACAAGACAAGACTCATACTGGGAAATTATCACGACAGCTGCTTATTTAAATATTTCTTAGTTGCAACCGTGCAAGTTGGTATGCGAAATGAATTAAAATTGTTTGTTAATAAAGTGAGAGGGGTAAAAGTTTTACAATAAAAGTGGCTATCTGATACGTGTTTGTGAATATTCAGTTTTTGTCAAAAAAAATAACTTACGGGAACAATTGTTGAGAAGTTGCATAAGTATTAGTAGAAAATTTGTGTAAAATTTGATTATTATATAGGTACCTTTTTTGGTTTTCAATTTACAGCCACTATTCCGTATTTTTTAAAACGTATTCTTTTTAGCTGTAAATTCACTGGTACCATTTGTGCTACTTCTTTTTAAAACACCATGTATAATTGTGGGAAAATGTCTCATCTGCTCTCTCTGGGCTTAAGATGATCGAGTGCAATGTATTTTGTTCCATTTTTATGTTCAATGTTATGTGTTTAACATTTAGACATGGATTGTAATTTATAATAAAAATGTATTGGCGTAAGAAAGTGATAGGGGTACTAACATATGTTAAAAATTTTAGCAATGAAATGAGTTTTAAAAAGTGGAGCGGATTTACATCACAAAATAATTTTATTAAATAACACTTAAAAAAAGAACAGTAATTTTTAATTTATTTACTTTACATATTAACTTAGCAAACTACTGGAAATGATCTTACGATTGTTTAAAGGTTATCACAAAAGTCATATATTTGGTATTTTTATTTTCGTCTTAAGCGACAAAAATAGTATTCTCTTAGGAGAGAAAAATATCACTTTTAGATTAATTAACGGTGATGAAATCCTCATATTTTCGCGTAGATGAGTAGAAAAATTAATATTTCCTGTCTCGTAAAATAAATAGGTATATTTGCTTTACTCTACTCAAAACAACCAGCATTATATTTAAATACGAAATAGGTAGGTACCTAATCAATTTCCAACATTTTTTTGTAATGGTATACTTATATAAGGATTTAACTAGGTGGAAATATACCAAAGTTTCAAACGCGATATATTTTCAGCATTTTCTTTTCATTAACTCTATTTTATAGAAGGGAGAAAATATGAACATAATTAAATACAAGTAAAAATGGAAAATAAACATGGTTAAATAAGTAAATAAGTTATAACAACGGTTGTATAATACAAAAGCCTCACATTTTTATAAAGAATCTTAGGAACCAATCAAACTTAATCTTTAGAGTAACTATAACTTAAAATAGGTACCTACCTGGATTTGATGCATAAATTAACGACAATACTGCGAAAAATTCGCAAATATACAAGAAAAACTTCATGGCGAATTAAAAAAACACGCGTTTCAAACAACAAATGGTTGCATCTCGCTCTACTTTTTTTAAGTAGTTTTATCCCGTCCATTCACGAATTACAAGACCTTTGACATAGCGGTTCGCTATCTCTCAGGGGCGTGGATCCACGGGAGGAGGGGGCGATGAGAGCGATCGTCTGCCCCCTCAAATAGTCCAATTTTTTTTAGTACAAATAAAACAACAAAGAACCAGCCATAAAAATAAACCCTAAGAGCTTCGTACCCCAAAATATTATAAAACCAAGCAGCTCCATACTGAAATTGTAAACTCTAAAGCTCAGTTTTCTAAACTGTATAACTTTTTTTTATTTTAGCTCTTTTTAGATATCAACTGTACAAAACGCCTCCCCTCCTCAAAATCCATCCCTGGATCCGCCTCTGTCCTTTACTATGTAGCCCCCTACATTCCAGGCCATCAAAAATTGAAAATATAGTTATATAGCTCGTAGTTCGCAAAATCGTAAGTCATTTGACTGACATAGGCAGTTCGTTAGTAATCGTAGAAGTAAAAGGTAAAAAGTAAAACATACAATGTGTATTGTCTAAGAGTACACTTACCTTTATTATAGATTTAGTTAAGAACAATATTAAAAACTGTAAATCATGTAAATGTTTTGCATTCGAGTTAAAAGGACTCTATAGCAAACAGGCAACCAGAAATACATTTTTATTGATTTTATTACACAGTCTGTCTAAATTTGAATTAATGCACAAATAACATACTTTTCCCCATTTTAACGCAATTTTTTATCAAATGGAGTTAGTTTGAAACTCAAATTACTTTTTGATGTAAAGAAATTTGTAATTTACGGTGGAGCGCTTGCGCACTATGGTCGGCAAATACAAATGTGGTTACAAGGAAATTATGAATATTAGATATGGATGGTCTTCCATGAGGAGGAGGATATAATGAACCGAGAGTACCTACTAAGTCTGGTAAGATAGATATCCACCAAGTTCACCCGACCTTAATCCTGTGGATTATTTTGGCTAGAGATTTTTTAAAACTAAAGTTTATGGTACACCAATAGAAACCCGAGATGAATTGTAGCAAAGAATAGAATAAAATTGTATCTGAAGGAAAATCATGTCTTCTATATTAGACGTCGCAATGGATGCAGAAGAACTTTATTTTGAACAATTGTTGTAGGACTCCGTTACTTAATCACTTACTCGACCTATTTGCTAATGTTATTTTATTAACTAGTCTGATATTTTTTCCAGAAATGAAATTATTCGTACAAACAGCCCGTGGCATATTTTTCTTTTTTTTTTAATATGATAGAAAATATGTTTTTTAAATTTTAACACCGGAGACAGGAAAGTTTATAGAGCAAATTTAAATTATCTTGCACAACATTAGTAGTGAGAGAAGGGGGCGTACAGAAATTTTAAAACAAAACATTTTCTTTCTAGCGTACCATATTTCTTTCCCAAATTTTCCTAAATAAGAATTTTTTTTAATTTTATGGAAATTTGATGATTTTTGCAGAGACCTCATATTATTATTATGTCGATATCCTTTAATGAAAAAGGATCCTTTTGTCTTCAATCATCGATATCTCAGCGACAAATGGTCGTGCAGAGAATTGAAGGGCAGTTTCGAAAACTGAAAATTTTCTAACATGCTGCCGTAACTTTTCGGAAAAAAAATGTTTTTCATTTACACGAATTTTTAAAAACAGGAAAAAAGGGTAGGTAATTTATGGTTTTTTAGAAAATTGACGGCTAAATTAGAAATATTCACGAAATGACTAATGTTAAGCATGACTTTTACAGTTTAATATACCCAGAAGAACCCTATGCATGAAGTTTCATCTCGATATAGTAAATCGTTTCTTTGTTTCAAACAGTCAAACTTTTGAAAAAAATGGCACGTTTTTTGAGTTTAAACACTTCTTAATCATGATTAAAATGGAAAAAAAATTTTCAAATTCTCTGAGATTTTCTCACATTTTTACAGCAAATAACTTTGAATGATGAAAAAATTTAAAAAATTGATAAATTTTTGAACATTTTTTTTAGGAAAAAATTCCGATGCTGACCCAAACCAGATTTCGACCCCGATTCATACCGTTTTTTTGAGACAAATTTGTAATTAATATTTGTGCAGTCTGTAATGACTTAAAAAAAGTTTTTTTCAAAACTTCTCTGAAAAAAAATTATTTTTTATTTTTTTCATCAATTTACGTTATTTGCGGTAAAAATGTGAGAAAACCTCAAAAATATTTTTTTTTTACATTTTAATCATGATTATGAAGTGTTTAAGCTCAAAAAATGTGACTAATTTTTTTCAAAACTTTGAATCAAAGAAACAGACTAGATGATCAACTAGATCAAGATGAAACTTCATGAGGTTCTTCTGGGTATATCCAACTGTAAAAGTCAAGCTTAAGATTAGTAATTTTGTGAATGTTTCTTTAAACTTTTTAAATTCATGTAAAAGATGAAAAAAATAATTTTTTCGAAAAGTTGCAGCAACATGTTATAAGAAATTTATTCGTTTTCGAAACTGCCCTCCAGTTCTCTGTACTTCCATTTGTCGCCAAGATATCAAAGACTGAAGACAAAAGGATCGTTTTCCATTAAAAGTCCGATATTTCGATGAAAAATGGTCGCATCGACATTTAAAAAAAAAAGGAAATTGAAGCTGAATAAACAAGTTATCTGGTCCATGCAATGGCTTAGCTGAAAAAAAAATTTCCAAGTCCGTGGACTCAAAAAAAAAAAGGAAATTTGCAAAATTTTTTGTCGTGCTATTTCTTAGAATTGCATGATAACCGTAATTCCAAAAAATTTTCGACCGAAAGATCTAAAAACTAGAATTTTAGAGCTTCAAAATGCTTTTTTTTTATTCCTGATGCGACCACTTTTCACCTAAATACAGTCCGCCAAAAATCACGGAAAAACTTCGTAAATTCCTTCAACCCTTTAATTTTTTGCATTAGTGTAGAATTTAAGACATTTTACTTACCTTAAAAATTCTTCTAGTTCCCAAAACGATGATTTATGTTTACACTATTTAACTGTTGGTACGACTACCAGCTCGGACAATATTAATGTGTTAAACACGTAAATAAACAGAAACGCTTTACTTATTACTATTTATTAGTCGCTTGTATATTACATAATTTTATATTTACCGTTTCAAAAAGGGCACCACTAAAATATACATACAAAATAATTAAAGATAGTAATTGCATTTCCGTCTGGCTAAAACCAATTCACACTCTTCAAAATTTGTACTCCAAACGTTTCTTCACGTAAAGCAGATCATAAATAAAATGATTCCTCGGAGGGTGAATTTGTTTTATAACAACCTAAGTATATAAACCAGTAACATAGATTGATAAAATATATTTATATAACTTACATAATGCATATAATAAAATGGAAAAGTTAGAGTACAAATTCCATATTTTCACCGACGCACTCGTGATTAATACCTGTTCTTCTGCTAGCTCAGTAAGGTTCGTATTTCTTTGTGCATATGACATAAGAAATCTACGTAACTGGGAGATCCGTCGTTTCCACGATCCTCTACCAGGAAATGCTTGAACACGGGCTCTAATTTTTCCCTTTGCCTTACTATTGTTAACTAAAAGTAAACGTCAACAATTAACCTTCCTCAAAATTCAAGATCAGTCAGCGAGGGTTGCCTTTTATATTTCAGGAATGGACGATCCTGGTGCTGCCATCTGTGAACCGAGATCCCTACCGTAAAGTTCGACTTTTATCCGTACACTTTCTCAAATTGTTTCGATATATAGGCGCTATTTGTGTTGTTTACGGTACTTGAAAAATTCATCTCGGTGCCAAAAAATGGAGTTGAGTCGTGAACATTGCCCTGCGAATATTTTATTTTTATAACGGTGCTTGGATGAACTTAATTTGACTTTTGGGGATAAGGAATCATAAAAAACAACTATATCGGTAGTATACGGAATTTCGTGAAGGCTGTCCAAAACCGGTTGTTATTCCAGAACACATTGATGTTGTGTGTGTACTGATACTGCAAGATCGTCATGTGACTTATCGTGAAACTGAAGCATCCTTGGGTATTAGTGGGACCAGCATACATTCAATATTGCAAGAACATTTGGCTATCAGAAAAATTTATTCGCTTTGGACAAACAAACGCTCAAAAAAAGGTTTGTGTTGATTAGTTGAAATAAATGCTCAAGAAATATGATCGCGGTGCTTCAAAACGTGTCTATGACATCGTAACAGGTGACGAATGATGGATCTATGTGTATAAGCTTGAAAGTAAACAGTATCATTCAAGATAAGCCAAATCCAACAAAAGTTGTTTGCACACGAAGCGCTTCTGGGCAAATGGTCGCCTGTTATTTCGAAAAAACCGGTGATGTAACTACGATTAGTGCAACGTCGGACGTTAAATTCTGAATGGTACACAACCATTCTCTACCAGGAGTTCTCACACATCGGCTCAAACAAGACATTTGACAACTGAAACAGTCTAATTGATGGGTCATCCGCAGTACAGTCCTGATTTGGCACCCACTGACTTTTTTTTATTCCCACACCTCTAAAATTAATTACGCGGTTAACATTTTTCGACTCCTGAAGAAGCCGTCGATGCATTCGAAATGCATATTCTGGAGGTATCTCAATCAGAATGGAAAAAGTGCTTTGAAAATTGGTTCAAGCGCATGCGAAAGTGTAGTGATCTCCATGGAGCATATTTCGAAAAACAATAAAGCCATATACAATGATTAATTTCTTTTTTTATTGTCTATTCCCGAAATATAAAAGGCAACCCAAGTATTATAGCCAAACGCATGCATAGGTAACATCTTGTCACATTTGGAACAATTATTTTCCCATTTTCCAAATAGTATGCTCACAATGTGACTGTCAGTTTTTCATTCTCTGTTTCCAATAAAAAATTGGAAACTTTATAGAGTCGTCCAAAACTCACTTTTGTTAGTTGAAAAAAAGGTCAAAATAGTAGCGTCAATCACAGGTCCTCTAGCGGCTAGCATAATCACGCTGTTTATATGTAATGTTCCCTCTAATTTTTTCGCTGACTACGTGGAACAAAAGTATATGGGAGCAAAAATGTTGAAAAATTTTTTTGACCCTCTAAATTTTCACCATTTTTAGCTGCAATTTTTTTATAAAATGGAATTTTAAAAAATGCTGAACAAGCCCATTGTACGCAGAATACAAAAACGGCTGTGCAACATTTGAAAAATGACTGCCTGGCCACGCACCCGCGCAGCTTAGAGGAAACTTTTTTATATACCAGGTGACCACGAGATTACTACCCAGGCTCCAGTTTAGGCACGAAAAAAGATATCGATTTAAAATTTTGGGCATTTAATCATAAAAACAACTGACAGTCACTTCCTGTTTGAACGGAAATGCCCTAAAGTTTGTTATTTCATATGGAACACCCTGTATATTATTTTTGTTCTCAATTCTGCTGAAGAAACTAACACTAAAATATGTATTATGTCCTATACCTATCTTTTGACAGTTTCCGAGAAAATAGCGCTTTAAAATGTCAAATGTGTCATTTATAAAATCCTAAATAAAATAAAAAAAGAAAGATTAAATGCCCAAAATTTGAAATCGTCAAATTTTTTCGTGCCTAAGCTAGAGCCTGGGTAGTAACCTCGTGGTCACCCGGTATATCGTGGTTCAAAGGGTCAAAGGTGGCCTCTCTATAAATATGACCCCCATTAAAAATTACACCCTGTGTAACTCTTAAAACTTCAAAATTTATCAAACGAACCAATAAATTTGCCGGTTAATAAAAACTTATTTTTGGCACAAACAAAGTATATAGTCCAGCTGTTAAGTTTTAAAACTGATTTTATTGTGGCGAATTGTACGGCGCCATCTATATATGCGAGCAACGGATCGACATAGTCGGAAGCCTTCTCAGCGTCCGAACAACTTTTCATCAATATACGTATATCTACCACGAAGTTATAACGTTTTGCGTGAAACGAGTTTTTGATAGTTGCCATGGAAACGCACATTGAACAGCGTACAACAATCAAGTTCCGTTTTAATGACGGTAAAACAGCCACCGGCAATGTGTTACAAACGGCATATGGTGAAGTGTGTGTATCATGTCCATCTGTGTTCTTGTGATAGATTTTGTGATGGCCGAGGCAGCATGCACGATGATAAGTGGACCGGGCAGCTCCTCACAAGCCAAACAAACCAAAACATCGAAGTTGTGCGCTCTGCACTGAATTCTGATCGTCGATCAATTATCAGAATGCTGCCAAGCCATGTATGATTGATTGACGAACAGACTTCAGCGCAGACCACATAGCTTCAACATTTTCGTTTGACTTGTGCGGGAACGCTCTGTCCTCCCGTAAGCTTGCATGCTGTCTCGGCCAGTATCTCATTGTCCTGTATGATGTCTCAGCTATCACGGGACCTCCCGAACCACAGGAAAACAATTGGATTTGATATACACTCCTTTCTGTACACCGTTTGTAATGCTGATACGTTTCCGTAACTGTTTTACTGGATTTAAAACAGAACATGATTGCTGTACGCTGTTCAATGTTCATTTCCATGACAAAAACGTGGTACATACATGTATACTGATGAAATTTTGTTCAGTGGCTTGGAAGGCTTCCCACTTCTTAGTTCCGTTGACCACATACAGATAGCATCACACACTTCACCACAATAAAGTCAGTCTTAAGAGAGCTCTATAGCAAATAGGCAACCAGCAATACATTTTTATAGATTTTATTACACACTTTGTCTAAATATGAATCAATGCACAAATAACAGACTTTCCCCCATTTTAACGCAGATTTTCTATAAAATGCACTTAGTTTGAAACTCGAGTAACTTTTTGCTGTAAAGTAATTTGTAATTTGCCGCATTTGAACAAGTAAATTACAAATTTCTTTACACCAAGAAGTTATTTGAGTTTCAAACCTAGTTCATTTTATAGAAAATCTTCGTTAAAATGGAGGAAAGTCTGTTATTTGTGCATTGATTCGTATTTAGACAAACTGTGTAATAAAATCCATAAAAATGTACTGCTGGTTGCCTATTTGCTACAGAGCTCTTTAAAACTTGATAGCCGAACTGTGTAGTTAATGTTTACTTGAAAACAGCAACAAAAGAGAAATTACAAGACCCACACGCTCCAAATCAACTATACCACCAATTATAAAAGGCTCATACGAGACATTTGCATCCTATAGCGCCAAATAAAAAAGTCATCAAGAATAACGTCGGCAGTGAACGTGCTAAGAAAGAATCTTACTTACCCTCATACACCTATGCCTTTGTATCCTTATAGAATCAATTATGGACCTAACAGCTATCGACAGAGGATTGTCTAACTCCGGCAACCCGTTCCGTTCCAAATCGACTTGAATGGCGGACGGAGCGCCAAATACTTTCTGAGTGAACTCCGGGTTGACCCCTAAACCGAACCAGAGGAACATGTGGATACCATTCTCTAAAAAAAGAAGTAACGCGTTACAAAATTTTATTTGTCTCTGCGTTAAAATTTCCACGCTCACCCAAGATGTACACTCCCTGCTCGTTCATTTTCTCAATGGTGCAGCGAATCGAGGACGGGAGCTCGACGGGTTCCTGCGAAACATCCAAGTCGTGGAGGGGAATGAGTCTAGGATAGAAGAAATTCACAGAGGTCGGGACGTCCATTATCATGACCACTTGCATGACAAACGACCTGTCGTCTATGGTCATATCTGAACCTCCGGATATGGCATCGCTCTTCAATAGACAGTTGACGTAAAGCGGAAGCAGTTTCATGCATTCGGGAAGGATCAACTGTCCGGCGCTACTAGGGCTTGCACAGTTCTTCCTGTAAGTGGCCAAGATCTGAGCTGCCCTATTCACGATGTTGTCTTTGACGGCCTTGGGATTGTTATCCAGGAGCTTGTAGACGGCCTGTTTGCTGATGAAGTTTATTATGGTATCGAGGTCGCAGCTGCGGTAAAGGTCCGCCATTTGCGAGCACGTTTTCAGGGAGAGGTTTATTATCCGTAGCCTCCTTTGGCCGGAACAGGACGTGTACAGTAGGGCTACTTGGATGTACACACCTTCCTCTTCCGATAGTTTGTCGTCATATTTTATTTCAACGGCGACTGCCTTATCGCAATCTAAAACGGTAATAAGCAGTTGCAGGATTGGAAGAAATGACTGTTTTTTTATTTAATTAATTCAATAATCTATATCTAATCGATAGAATCGTTTCTGTAAGTTACATTTTATATAAAATTTTATGAAAACATAGAACATGTATAAAGTAAGGTTAATAAATAGCATTATTACTTTTCTGTCGACCTCGCCATAAAATGCAGTTATATGAACTCACTTTTGGATTGAAAGTGTCATGTTACAGAGGGTCAAACATGACATCTTAAAGTAACATTTTGCCAAGTTACTAAATTTGTATTTTTACTGATGAGTCTGCTGACGAGGCTTTTTCGTCTCAGAACATAACAACTATTTTTAGTTTAACATGTTTCATTGGAATTCCCCAAAATAATATCAAAATGGAAGAATGAGAACATCTTTCTAGATTCTGGAATCAAGATACGATATCGTGACGACATTGATCCCTATCCCTCCGTAAGTGGGGATTCTTGTTACGTCTATCCAATATTTAAAGAAAACATATGTCATTTGTTGTTTTTAACATTTCATTTTTTCATTGAAAAGAAGTTTTAATGAAAATCTAGATAATTTTGCAAATCTACATATCATGAAAATGTGAAGTTGAAGTGAAAAGTTTCTGATAAACACAGTCAAAATCTCAAAACAACGATTTCCTGAGAATAATGTACAAATTTTAATGCAGCCGGTTTAATACCCAGACATGGATCCCACTAAAAATCTTTGAGAGAGCGAATAAGAAAATTGGAAAAATGTAACCAACAGATGCCAACTATTTCACAAAATTCAAACTGAAAATGTTCAAATGAAGAAATTATTTTGAACCTGGTTATTAAACAAAATATTGATTTGCTTATTTATTATTCATTTTTTTATCCATTTCAGTCGCCCTGAATCTATCAAGACATAATCATATTTTGGATTTATTGTACAGCACTAAAAGAGAATTTGAAAAACCTTTCCTAAAAATAAAATGAGAAAGATGATTATTTTGGAATATTAAACAAACAAAAAACTCAGCACCAGGTCTCGACAGTGTGCCTTGGGAGTGTAATTAAAAACACTGATTATGAAGTTCATCTTTACATAAGTTTTACTTACAAAGCTAGTCTTCAGTTTGCAAACAACCAAATTGGACAAAGAAAAAACTTCATTGTTCCAATGATCCATGAAAAACTATACAAAACTGTAGGAGATTTTGATAAATCAGTCTCAATTTATTATTTTCAATCATTTGTCAATGTCAAACATTTCTCCAATTATTTCGATAGGTAATCAACATGTTTCAAATCATCAAATATCTTGGAATACGCTCAGACAATAAGTTAAACGTCAATGACCATGTCAAATTAGTTAAAAGAAAAATTATATTCAGAGCAGAACTCTTCAGTTTGCTAACATACAAAAATAAAGAGGTAACAGTAGTTATTGCCAACAAAATATATGACAATATATGTGGACCACTCCTCGCATATATCCATTTTCTGAACTGTTGCAAGGCAACCAAAAAAATTGGTGAAGACCTCATCCCTTACAAGAATAATGAAAATCTGACATCAAGCCAACTTTATATCTATACAATATCTCAAATATTTAACCTGTCCATCACAGACGGAAAAAAATTTCCATGAAAAAACAGAAATACTTGAACTCATTTCTCATTTCAAGAAATGCCAAAATTTAAATCTTAACCAAAGAGAACAGTGAAGGGAATTCAAGACATGGTCACGAACACAGAGACAATTAGTTGGTGTCTTCTTTAATGCAAAGCCTTCCTAAATGAATACAAGTCACGTATCCACCGAGCTTAAGCAACCAACTGTCATCAATATTACAATCGTTTACAATGAATAATGACAAACTGTTGGGTCGAGAAAATGTGTTCCCTGATTGGTTAAATAAAATGTCGTGAAAAATTACCAGCAAAACATAAAATTGTATTTTAATGAGATTTTGATCTTATTGTTTTAATTTTACCGAAATTAGTAATGTGCATTGTAATTAGTTTTTTTTTATGTAATTACGTGACTCTTCTCTTACACTAATTATACTTGTTACTTTAAAATTAGACAGGCTCAAAGACTTCGGTTTACAGCACCAATATAAGAGGCAAACGAAAAATGTTCTAAACTATTAAAAAAATAATAATTAAAAATATTGCGAATTTTGCTCACTGTAAATTTTCAAACCCTCACTTAAAGTTCCAGCTTCAAATTTTTTTAATTTGTAAAAAAATTAATAATTTCGTGTATTTTTACCTGTTTTTTTCCATTGAATATTTCCGCTTTTTACTCAAAGACCAGGCTTTAGCAATTTCTTACTGAATTCATATAAAAAAAAAAATTATTCTTTATTTTTTTTCTAAAATCTTTTTTTTTGCTAATAAAATAAATAAATAATCACAGGCTGACAAGATTTTAACAATTTTAACCCAACAACACAAATATACAGGGTGAGATTTTTCGATGTTTAGTGTAGGGGTCTGGGAAAGTAGCAGATATACTAAAAAGTTTAAATTCGACAAATTCGACCAATTCTTTCAGATGCGTGTAGCTGCGTTTGGTATTTATTTTACAAAAAATTTTAAATTACAAAGTTTCAGGTTTTTGCAGTGTTAATAAGACAGTGCGATCAAAATGTTCGTGTACACTTTTGTTTTCAAGTTATATGATAAACTTCAAGTTTTTTAAACGTAAACCATAGTTAGCTATGAGCTAGAAAAAAATGTCTTTTATGCTTTCCAACAATATAATATTCGGTATTGTTATTTTGAAAAATGAGTGAACTGCAGCCGTTTATAACTTTTCAATTGCTCGTTGACGTAGATGTCTGTGAAAACAATCGAAATATTTACTGACAACGCTTTTAGTTACTATTAACACTGCAAAAACCTGAACATTGTAATTTAACCTTGTATTTTCCCAGAGGATTTTGGTTCGCTGAATTCGAATCTGAGGTCTTCTGGTTTTAGAGATATCCTAACCTAAAACTGCTAAAATCGCGAGTTTTCGACATATTTGAGGTTATGTTACATGGAAAGATAAAGATTTTGTTCGTGCCTGTCAACTATTTTTGGCTCAATACAGTTTAAATTTTCAACTTTGTTAATGAAAGAATGATCATTAAAACTCACCAATAGATGCCAATTCCATGTCAGTGGTATTAGACATGTAGAAATGTCCATAAAAGTCAGTCGGCCTGACGCCGGTCGAGGTCCTCACCCTCATGATAGCGTCGAACGCTATCGGTCTGCTTATATCCGTTATAACGTCATTTATCAGCCTCTCGCCGTCTATGTCAGCCTAAAAAACGAAATCTTTTAAAGGAAACGCCGCGATCCGTGAGAAAGACATACTTGGAAGTACGTGTACTTGAATATTTCACCGCCAGTCAACCTGGCCACCTGGCCTATACTTGCGAGATCTATGTACGCATTGTTGAAAATAAATAAGTCCACCGAACAGCCCACTGCTACGCAGTCCTGACCCAACTGGTTGTAAGCTTGCGTCTGAGGAGTTAGAATGGTCCTTTCTTTCTCTGTACCGAGCAGCTTACGATCGTCCCTGTTTTTCAATTTTCCAGGCGCTTCCGCTGTCGGCAGTGTGGAGTGGAACACCATTAGCTTTCCGTTGCATTCCGACGCCTGCGTTACAAAAAATATATTTTATACTTGCTTCTTAGAGAGTCTGCCTCCATCTAACTTATGGTAACACTTAAAGTGACAGACTAGTTTTAAGGGGTTACACCACTGTAGAATTTTCAAAAAATTGTTGTTTTTTTTTTGCTTAAAAGGTAGCTTGTGAACCTTCTAGAACAGAGGTCGGCAACTACTGGACCGCCAAAAATTTTTTTAAAGTACGTTTTTTACGTTTGAGTGCTATCCTTATCATTTTTTTTAGTAATTTAAAAACTGTGTAACAGATTTGAGTTCTTATAATAAAAAAAAATTAGTAAGAAATATGAATTTTTTTTTCTGGACCTCGTTAAAAATTTTGAAAAGTGTCCGGACCCCACCTAATATTACTTGCCGACCCATGTTCTAGAATATGAGGCAAAAGGTTTAATACATGAAATTTTTTTTTAATTTTCGCTTTTTCTGAAGCGTGTCGGGCGTCTCTCATATGGTTACCTCCGCTATGAACATACTCGCTCGGAAGGTACTGCGTACCTTCTTACCTATTGATTTATAACTTCTCTAATACACTCATAGATGTCGTTAGGGAGTATGCGTGTACAATTCAAGCAAAATGTTCAAACAAAAGTACGTTTGTGTAGCGTCAGTGCACGTTCATGTCTAAAACTCATATTAAAACTTTAAACGTGTTTTTCTCGAAACTCCAACAATTTTCAATATGGCCTTTTGAAATTGTAACCACATATTGATAAGTTAATTTAAACAATTGTTAGAAACAAATAACTGCCCTTTTCTTGTCAAAAATTTAACGTTTTACTTCAAACACGAGCCAATTTTACAAAAAACAATATTCTTACAATCCCATATGTGTTTCGCTAGCTATACTCATGTAGATTAAGAGCAATTTTTTTTTGTTCCACCTTTTTTTGCAATAGTTTTAGTGCGTGCCGTGGGACGCCTCGACAGCAACACGACTCAGGAGTATGGCTCCAGTGCCGCCATTTTGAAATATTTTTTAAAGAAAAAAATTATCTGTACACTTAATACATGCCTAATAACATACTTAAACAGGTTTTTTCTATTACCTTTCCTTCTATTAAAAAAAAAGTTGTCAAAAACACACTTTTTTAGGCCGTTGCAGTGGTGTAGCCCCTTAATGTAGAACAGTCGGTGCTTTCTTTTTCTTGTTTCTATTTTGATTTTTTGCCATATTTGATAAAAAAAATAACAGCGTTTTTAAATTTTTTTCTGTGCATACTGAGAATATTTCCGTTATTTATTACTCAAGTTGATACTACAGGATGAAAATATATTGAGTGTACAATGAAGTCAAAAAAAAAATAATAATAATTTCGGAAAATAATTTCATTTACATACGGGGGTTGCTTTTTAACTTTTTATATTTCGGGAATGTACGATCCTGGAACTTCCATCTAACAAGATCACTATCGTAAAGTTCGACTTTTTGTCAGTATATTTACTGAGAACGTTTCAACGTACATGCGCTATTTGTCTTGTTTACGGTGATTTAAAAAATTCATCTCAGCCAAAAATGGAATAAAGACGTAAACATTTGCGATTATTGCGATTATTTTTTACAACGTTCGATATGGATTATCTCAATAACGGTATTTGGATGAACTTAACTCGACTTTTGGCGATGAACCACCGGCAAAAACCATTATGTACCGGTGGTATATGGAATTCAATCGTGGCTGTGGTAGGCACACTAACGAATTTCGTGAGGGTCATTTAAAATAGGTCGTTGTTCCAGAAAACAGTGAAAAAAAATTGGGTCCAAAACGAAAAAACAAAAATTTAATTTTTATTTCAACTGCAATCGTGAACAACTTCTGAAGGAGTAAATTTATGCAAAAACGTTAATAGATTTTTTTTTAGAGCATTAAATTTCCTTTGAAAATCTGTATTGTTCTTTTTCAGATATTAATTTGTTCGTTATTTATAAAATTCCAAAGTTAAAAAGGCAAATCAAAAAAACATATCAATTTTCAAGGCTTGATTACATGGAAACTACTCGTCTCCTGAAAATTTTCAATCAGACCTTTTTTGTGGGGCATTCAGTTTCCTTCAAAAATATACGAGTATGTCGATAAATTTTTTTACGTTGATGGTTTGGCAGTTTTGACGCAAAAAATGGGATCAGGAATAAAAAATCCAAACTAGCGATTATAGACCTCTTAAAACTAATATTAAGGGCTCAAACTCTCACGATATTTCTATTACTAAAAAGATTATAAGTTTATTAATTTTTACACACTTTACCATGACCGCAAAAACAATTCCGAAGCTTAAAACATACCTTTAAGGCTTCCAGTCCGGCCTGAATAGCCGGCAACAATACTGTTTCAGTTTCCCTCGTATCTCCGAACATTGCTGGTATCTGTTCCATAAGAGCGTCGATAACCGGTCCAGATTCCTCCGGAGTACAAAGAAACCCGTCCAAGAGCGGCATAAACATTTCTTGTACGTCCCCGACTACCATCATCTGGGGCGCAGCCAAAGTCCCCTAAAACAAAACAACACTTTTCTTGTAACGCCAATTCGACGATATAGTCATTTAAAACTTACTTTGATGTTATAAAAATGCACGGAGCTGTTGTAGGTGATGAAGCCGACTCTCATATTGCTTTTCTCCTGCCCCTGGTCCACCGGTAAATTTTGTATAATCTCTTTCATTTGGGAACAGAGCAGGTTGACTAAACCAGACTTAACGTTGTTGTAAGACACGTCGATCACGAAGACTACCGCCGGCGGTTTAGGCAGCGTGTTGTTCCGGCAGTAATCCGCCGTGGCCACGAATTCGTAGGTGCCCAACACCAATTCGGGACGTTCGTAACGATCCATCCTTTGACCCGTGTGGTCCAAGTGCTGGAAGTACTCCGCTGGAACTGTAAAACGGGAACGGGGTGTTTGCATCAAGTATTACCTAATTTTTGTTTACTTACCGTCGGTGGTAACTCTGCAAAAGAGACATTGGAACCTCCTTCCCGAATCAATAAATTGCATGTAAGGGCACATATAAGCTTTACATCTTATACAACGGATGGGTCCTAATTCTCCAAAATTTACGATCGGCGGAGGATACTCTCCGTCAATAGTCCTCGTCATCGGACTAATTACTAAGCTGAATGGAACTGCGGTTTGTTTAATAATGTCCTGAAATCATTACACTTGTGTAACGTACAGGATGAGTAGCGTTGCATTAAAAAAAAATCAAGGAGAGTGGCCCCAACAATTATGTTGTAGTTTTTAACGGTAATTCATATATTGTCCATGTAAGAGGCTTATTCACAAAGTAAGAGTACGGAGACTTTGATGCTCTGTGGTTGTTGGGAGCAGAACTCATTTGTCGCAGTCAGTTGAGAACTGTTGTTGTAGTGGTATGTTGAAATTAGTGCCATTATTTTGGATACAAGTGGTGTTGTGAGTATAAAGCTGGTGGAACGAATGTTTAGGATGAACAAACAAGTGGGCGGCAAACAAGATCGAAGAAATGTTTCATGGCAACCGTCGCAACAAAGGAAGTGTGATTTTTGCATTACAATGAATTTCCCCACACACTCAAAGCCTCAAAGCAACTCTAGGATTCATTCGGTGCTCACCTGGCACCTACTGATTTTCATCTTTTCTCTTCTCTGAAGGTGTTTATAGGCAGAAAAACATTTTCTACCGACGAGGGGGATACAGTGCAGTGAAACAATGGGCTCGAGACCTCACAAGGTGCATTGAGGTTGAAGACGATTAAGTCAAAAAATAGTGTTTGAAAAATAGTCTTTCGGAATATTTCAATTTTTGGTAAATCTACCGCCGTTTCAATTTTCAAGAAAATGCATTCTCTTACTCAAAAAATGTCTTATTTAATGAGTTTATAATGGGCGTACTTACTTGTGAAATGGGTACATTATACATCGTAGATCGTATATAGCGAGGGCTGGCATTTCCTTGGTCTTGTACAACAAATTTGGTAGTTACCAACGGCGGAACAAGACCCTTTTGATTAGTAACAAAGACACCTGATCTGTTTTGCTGGTCATCTTGTGTCACTTGGATCTACAAAACGGTTTAAATTAATCGTGGCCAAAATTTTGATCTTACATCATGTTCAAAATAAAGTTTATTGTAGGGATAACAAAAACCGTGAATGATATGGGGTAGTTCAAATAAAAAAGTTGCACATCAAAAAATGTAAAGACATCTGAGGTATTTAAGAAAACATGTAAATTTAATGTAAAGAAAAGGTAGGAATGCTTCTTTGTGGCATCAGTATTAACATTTTGTTTTTTAAGGAAGTTATATGCATTTTAATGCTCAAAATTGGTTCAAAATGGATGTAACTCCAGAAAGAGGCATTTTAGAGAAAAATATGCTGCAATAAAAAAACAGATGTGTTGTGTAATTTCAAAATATTAACAATTTTAACAAAAAATTGAGATTGCCAGTGATTCTGAGATATTTGTTGAGGTTAGGATCCTCACGTGACGGAGCATTTCTGATGGCTCCATCATCTCCAGCCCTTCGAAATAATCATACTCTGTTAAAAAGAATGATTCTTTTGTGCATGTGCAATTATTTGAGGGGAATTTTGAGTGAATTTTATAGATTTTATTACACAGTTTGTCTAAATATGAATTAATGCACAAATAACAGACTTTCCCCCATTTTAAAGCAGATTTTCTATAAGATGGACTTAGTTTCAAACTCAAATTACTTTTTGTTGTAAAGAAATCTGTAATTTACGATGTCGCTTACGGCAAATTAAAAATTTCTTTACAGCACAAAGGGATTTGAGTTTCAAACTCACTCCATTTTATAGAAAATCTGCGTTAGAATGGAGGAAAGTCTGTTATTTGTGCATTAATTCATATTTAAACAGACTGTTTAATAAAATCTATAAAAATGTATTGGCCGGTTGGCTATTTGCTACAGAGCCCTCCTATGGTACGTAGGAAAACATTAACACAAACAATATGAAAGAAAGTTATAGAAATAAAATGTTTCCACACGATAATTCAGAAAAGATTTCATAAACATACGATTTCAAATAATAACTTACCGGACTCGGCATTTGATCAGGATCTAATCTACGATTCTGCTGTTGCTGTTGTTGCTGATAATTAGGTTGGGGATAACCACCCGGTCCGCTAGGCACAGGTCCCTGCCCGGGTATAACCCCCTGTCCGGGCATAGGCGGATAACCAGGTCCTTGGGGTCCCCTAATTTGCTGCCCAGGTCCATAACCCGGTTGAATAATTGGTGGAGGCATATGGGGACCATTGTCTTTGGCTCCCGGCGGATACTGTCTCGGCCCGCCCACATTCATGCCTTGCATTTGATTAACCAGTTGATTTGTACCATTAAATTGCGGAGGCTGACCCATTTGCGGCTGCCCAGGTATAGGGGGTTGACCTGGTAATGGTGGTTGACCTATCATCGACGGTTGCCCGGGAACTGGCGGTTGGCCAGGAATTGGTGGCGGCATGTGTGGACCATTATCCTTCATACCCCCTGCGGGATATTGTCTTGGACCTCCTCGCATCTGATTTGTACCGTTAAACTGTGGAGGTTGGTTCATTAATGGCTGACCAGGTACTGGCGGTTGGCCCGGCATTGGTGGTTGACCTAACATTGGTGGTTGGCCAGGCATAGGCTGTTGACTTTGCATTGGCGATTGTCCCGGTAATGGTAGTTGGCCCGACAGTGAAGGCTGACCAGGTGGGAACTGACTTGGTGCTGACTGATGACCCAGTATTGGTGGCTGATTTGGCCTTTGAGTTTGTCCTAGTGGGGCTTGCATGGGTTGGCCTGGTTTTGGAGGACCCCCAACAGGAGGCTGTGATGAATAAAAGTTTTGTCCTGTTGGTGGGCCTTGAAGAGGGGGTTGACTATATTGATTGGGAGGTGCATTTGGACCAGTCGGTGGACCGCCAAATTGGCCTTGATTGTTTGGCTGAGGGAACTGACTCGGCGGATTTGAGCCTACTCTAGGTGGCGGCACATTTTGATATTGATTATTGGCTTGCGTAAGTCCCACCATTGGTGGTTTATTTTCTTGATTCAGAGTAGGACCTAAATATGAAGAAAAAAACCTAATGAACCACCCTATCATACTTAGAACTAGGCGCAGCATATACCATTTTTTAAATTCAGAAATACTACATTAAAAAAATCTACATATGTAACAAATGAAGTAGATATTAATTTTTAATGATATCTTATTACCTGTCGAAGGTCCATTCTGAAACTGCTGTGGGGAATTTGAATATGGAGGTTGCCCATTCTGTTGATTAGAGGGCGTTAGATTCTGTCCTATAGAAGTGGGAGGGTGAAATGGATTTGTTTGAGGAGTATTAGTGTTCCTCTGATCTTGTGAACGTGGCAACTGATTTGGTGGAATTGGTAGTCTACCACCGCCACTAGTTGGAGGTCCTACATTAGGTGGAAACTGTCCTGTTGGGATTTGAGTATTTGATCCGAGAGGTGGGATGTTTCCGAGATGAGAGAGATTTCCTTCTGGCGTGCTACTTGGCGGAATGTGAGAAGGTGGCAGTATATTCTGGGGTGGTCCACCTTGTAATTGAACTGGTTTAGATCCAAGTGGTACACTTTGGAACACTGCTCCAGACAGCGGTGATAATTGGTTGGGTGGAAAATTCTGTTGAGGACCCCCAAATTGTTGAGGTGGCAAGAATTGTGAATTCATTTTACCATACACTATAATACAGGTATTATACAGACTACATAAAAAAATATATTACAATTGTAAAAAATATTTAATCTTCTGCTGAGATTTATTTTATCTTATAGGTAAATGAAAGTTCTAATATTTTGTATTTTTAGCATAATATTAATTAAATAACAAAAATAAAATACTCATTGATTTTTTAACATTTTACAGTAACAGTTCAAATGATTTTTATATAATGTTATACACTAATATAATTTCTCTCAATTCAGCTGTTGTTGTCTTACAATTTATCATAATACATGCCTAACTGTTTGTTATTAAATAAATTAATATCAAGATTTTTAACAATGTCGCACGTCTCCACTTGAATAGATGCTAAGTACATTGATAATTAATAATAAATTTGATTGACTACACTAGGTAGAATCTATAATGTAATTAGTACCTACATAACGGTTTAAAACTTTTAAATTTGGGTATTATAAAAATTAAAGTAAAATGTACCTATGCAATATTTTCATTTCATTTTTAAAATAATTTCTTTTCAAAACCATTGCAACAATATAAACTAAATTTAATTAAATGAATTTACAACATAAAAAAGTTAAAATTAGTTTACCATATGTAAACAAGAATGTGATAAGTAGGTATTTATAATTCTGACATTTGTAGTGCATATTTAACAAACATAATGGACATATACTTATTGAAATGCTAAGTCCATTTTATTTATACTTTTAAAGTTAATGTTGTTGGAAGTACTCAAAATAATTAATATTATTTGCCCTTAACATTAATGTTAAGGGCAGATATGGATTTATAACCATTTAAAAATTACAAAAAGTATACTTGTAGTTAGACGGTTACACGAAATTTGTAAAATAATAAATATTAAATTCAATGTAACCCCTCACGTATGTTATATACCTAATTTGTCAAATATTTGACCATATTTTGAGTTAGAACTTAAAAAAGGCTCGTGTATTTAAACGAGATTAAAATATTTCTTTAGTAGTTAAGAGATAAATGCTGATAAGCGATTTAAAGTAATAAATGTAACTGCAGTCTTATAGTACTTACATTGAAGAATTTAATAACAAAAATTAACAATTTTAATACAAAAAGGGCATCACTTCACTTTACGTCTTACAACTTGCAAGTATGCCACGTAAGGTTAAATTGCGCATGATCTAGTTACTTCCACGTCAATCTCACTAGAAAATTGACAGTTCTATAGTAATTTTTGCGTTATATTTATGTTGTGGTAATTGTAATTCCCCAATATCAAGTGGTCAAATGTCAGATGTCGTCACAGAATTCGCAAAAAATCAAAATAATGTTGGTTGAGAATGTTAAAAAATTGTTTATTAACCATTGGTGTAATAATAATATTTGTTGATATATTTTTTCCAACACGTCATGCAAGTCATTACAATTATATAAATAAAGAAGACATATATAATGAAATTAAGATCCAAGAACCAGCCAAGAATTATTTTAACCTCAAAAGTTGCACTTACCAAGATATTATTTTAAATAATATTGATGTTGAAGTTAATACAATTACAGACTATAAACCTTTTAAGCGACCTTTATCAGGTAAATTTTTTAATATTTTTTAAGTGATTATATTATTGTAAGTAGGCTTTTTTTAAGGCACTGCCTTTTTTTTGTATTCAAATATGTTCACAACATTCCTGTTTTTAACTGCTCCACAAAAACGAACTTATATTGCCTTAAATTGAGAATATTTTGTTATAAATTTTTATTTAAAATTAATTCGGTGACTATAAAAGAGTAGATTATAGTTTATCATTTTACGCAAAATGTGATTGTTTTATAAATTATTTATTTTCCGTTTATTAGAAACTGATTACCTAAATCTCACCAAAAGAGAGTTGCGGATCTTCTTCTATTATATACTGTTTAGAGCATGAAAGGTGTATCAGAGCCTGACAAAAGCATGTATTTTGTTTCAGGAGGTGAATTTCAACCCAAAGATTGTGTGGCATTAATTAAGACTGCTTTAATTGTCCCTTACAGAAATAGAACTGAACAACTTCATATTTTTCTAAATTATATGCATCATTTCCTTCAAAATCAGCATATCCATTATAGAATATTCATAGTAGATCAGAATGACACCTTACCATTCAATAGAGCGAAAATGTTGAATTATGGGGCAAAGTTAGCCATAAAACTGAATTATGATTGCCTAATCTTGCACGATGTTGATTTACTACCTTTGAATACTGGGAATATTTATGGTTGTGCAAAATCTCCTAGACATATGTCGAGTAGTCTAGATACGTTCAGGTAAGTTTCTTGAGTTTTTGATACATTATTGCTATTTGTAGATCAAATAATATCGTTTCATGTTCAAATGGTCCAAGTTCCTTTTTATTGTTCCATAAAAAGCTATGCTTAGTCCCAAATTATTTATTTTTATATATTTGCTTAACTCTATTGTTATCAAGACTATATGTATTTAATTTCTGGTATCTCGAAAAATATTTATTTTTAAGAAGCAGAAAATAAAACTCATTGTTTTTAATAGGCTTAATTTTTGTAAATATAGACGGATATCTCGACTTAATCTTGTTGTTAGAAGTGGATATGCTATCTTATACAATAATAATAAAATAATACAATGAAGTTGAATAATATTAATTATAACAAAGATTTAGGTAATTTCTTAAATCATTCACATATAATATTAGGAATGTGCTACGAAGATGGTCAACCTAAAATTACCAAGCGATTTAGTTGCTTTGCATTTTTTAGGTAGCTTATTAATGATTTTGATATCCACTGACAATTTCATTACGGTTATCGATTTATTTAACAGTTATTGCACAAGTTACTTTAAACTTCTCACTATTATAAGGGATTTTGAGAGGAAGTATTACTTTCAATCAATATATCTGAAAGAAATAAACGTTTTGCTGAGAATGTGATTTTGCTAATAAAAATTACAGATACAATCTCCCATATTTGAGTCTTTTTGGAGGCGCAGTCTCAATTTTATCTCAGCAATATGAAAAAATTAATGGAATGTCAAATATATTTTATGGATGGGGTGGTGAGGATGACGATTTTTACAGGTACCGTATTGGACACTTTCATGTGATTTCCTTATTCCTGTAATTACTCTATATACGTTTTAGACGTTTGGCAACAAATGGGCTTACACCTTACAGATTTTCTCCTGAAGTAAGCAGATATACAATGCTCAGACATAAGAAAGAGAATGCTAAGTAAGTCTTATAGTAGCAAATTAACAAAATAATGCATGTTAATAATATTTTTTATTAGATTAACAACATAAGGTTCTGGCGATAAGTGGAAATTGTGTGAAACTAATTGTAAGTTATTAATTTCTTAATCACAAGCGAACTGGGCGTGTACTTTATTGGGATTTGTGCCTTTTGCTTTTTAACAATTATTCGTCCTGTAATCTGTACAGTGTGTTTCATATTAAGTGTTTACTAAACTTTCCATTTGATGTTTATACAGTGTTAGTGTTTATCAGCAGCTTTGCGGATCATATAGTATATTTTTTATAGAAAATTGAAGTTATGTGCAGTTTGATAAAATTCTTAAGAATGTTGTCACAATACTTAACTTTGCACCATGTTTGAAGCCAATATTTATTCTTTTCATATAAAATTTCATCTATTTACTCATCAATTTTCCTAAAGTTCAATTTCTGTTAATTATATTTTATTATCATAACTTTGAAAACTTCTAATGCATCTTCTGCATCAGTTACATTCTAAAATGAAAGATGTTGCTTAGTTTCTAATATAATAACTATACCGGTGATTGCAAACTTCTATTCTAAGTGTTTGGGTATGTAAGGTCAAAGTTATTACAGTTTCTGATTACAGTTATGCATACCTCCTAGTTTGTATAACTTTGTCTTGTGTCTTGTTAACATTTTATAAGGAATATAAAACTCGACAGTGTGATATTTGTTTTTCTTTTCAGTGATAATAGATTTAAACTTTTGGAGGAAGCTGTGGATAAGTCTAACTTGGATGGACTGAATTCCTTGCCTCATCGGTACACAATTAAACTCGAAGGACTGTATACTCATTTGATTGTTTCATAATGGATTCACTCTTGATATTTCAATTCATCGTTGAGATTAAATTGTAAAAATTATTTTTTTATAACTGCTGTTTAAATTTCAAATTGTTTTTATTTTTGTTATAAATTTATCATTTTTCTGTTATTTATTTATAATATATTTATAAACCAGGAAATTATTTCTCAAAAACTTACCATCATATGATTGTTATACGATTTCAAGTCCATCACTGATGAGTATCATATTATTCAATTTCCTGCATTTATATTTAATATTAGTTTAATTAATTAATTCTGCTAATACTCTTGTGATTAAAGATGAATTAAATTATTTTTGAAGAAATAGAATTTTCTAACGAAGTAAAATATATTGATCTAATCAGATTCTGCCTCAAAATAATCACAATGCATCCTATAAATTGCATGCATGGGAAAATTTAGAAATATATATTAATGATTCCAAACACATTCATAGTTACGAGGTATATCCACAAATAGTACTCAATTTTTTTAAGTATCGAAACCGCAGTATACTTATGAAAAATTTACGTGTTCGGAAAGCTACATCGAACACTATTTTTCGACGTAATCGCCTTCAACCTTAATGCACTTTGTGAGCTGAGGTATGAACTTCTGATACCTTCGTCAAAATAATCTCCTGCGCCTTTCAATCCCATTGTTTCACAGCACTGTCGACTTCATTGTCAGTAGAAAGCCTTTTTCCACCTGTAAATACCTTAAGGGAAGATGAAAGATGAAAATCAGAAGGGGCCAGGTCAGGGCTGTGAGTGGGGTGGTTGATAATGTGCCAACCGAATGAACCCAAGAGTTGCTGTGTAGGGATGCGCATTGTTACGCAACAAGCACACTCCCTTTGTTAATATTCATGCAGGAGAGATGTGGAGATTTGTGGAAACACTACGTCATCTCGTCCAAAGTCAATTGACGGTCGCCATGAAGCTTTTCTTCGATCTTGTTTACCATCTCATCAATCACAATTGTGTGACGCCTACTCCTTTATTCACCATAAACATTTGTACCGTCAGTTTTATACTCGCGACACGATTTGTACAATTAGTATGATTCATCACACCATTCCCATAAACAGTTTTGATTTCGTTAAAAATCTAGAATGGCCTTTACAAGAAGAAACCAGATTAAGCTCATCGCGCAGCTGGCGGAATTTGGAATAGTGGCACTCATTTCAACACGCCACTACAACAACAGTCCTCAACTCACTGAGACAAATGAACACACGTTCTGCTCCCAATACCTTGGCTTTGAATGCAGAGCTTTGTTGAAAACAAAAACCACAGAACATCAGAATCTCAGTACTGTTACTTTGTAGATATGCCTGGTATGTTATTTTCCTAGACATTTGTCATTTTCTTCCCAACACTTTTGATATCATTAAATAAACTTTGCCATCTGAGATGCCGGCCAGTTTTTTTTACTGATATTGTGGACTCTTCAGTTCTCTGATATAGTTTTTCAGGTGTAGGAAGATATAATACTCTTTGAGCACGAGATCTTAATTATAGAGTGTGTGATCAAAAATCTTCCATTGAAATATTTGACCATATTGGCTGTGCTGTCAACCGTGCGTATATGTGCGTTATTATGAAAGAGAACGAGTGACTATAATCTTTTCCTACCTCTTAGAACTGGCTTGTGTCTCAATCATTCAGGGAACCTGAAATTGAAAACCTTAATGCAAAAATGGCTGCAATCCCAGCACTACAACAAAATCGTTTGCAACGAAATGGTGACTATGAATGTATTTGGAACTACTACATTTTTATTTTCTCATTTGTTCTTTTTTATAACTGATATTGGCCCTTTTGAAATGTGGCTCATATTTAATCTAACAATTTATTTTAAATATTACTTGGGAAAATTTCAGAGGCAAAAAAATTATGTATTAGAATCTCAGCTTCAAAGAAGTACTTAATATACTGATTGATTTAGATAAATGTTTGTGATATTTTAATTTTACCAAACTAGTTGAGTTACTGTAACCCCGAGTATGATTACATTTCGGTGACATTTTCATCATATTTTTCCTACATTAGATAATAATTCAGTTTTTTTTTAAGTATTCAAATGTATAAGTTCTTTAAATTCCTAATTAGTGGGTTGATGCAAACTTCCATGTCAATAGTTGAACAATTCTAGTTTAGACTTCTCAGCATTTCGAGAAACATAAGCTCTCTTCAGAAAAAAAACACTCTGGAACTATATCTCAAAACATCATTTAAACTTACAAGGTGGCAATCGACCCAGAAATTGTTCAGTCTCTAATTATAATTTCTGAATATATACGAGGGTTGCCTTTTATATTTCGGGATTAGAGAACAAAAACAAATATTAATCATCGAAAATCACTTTATTGTTTTTCAAAATATTCCCCATGAAGATCTATACACTTTTGCATGCGTTTGAACCAATTGTCGAAGCACTTTTGCCACTCTGATTGAGGTATCTCCAAAACATGCATTCTGAATGCAGCAACCGCTTCTTCAGGTGTCGAAAAACGTTGACCTCTCAGTTTGTTTTTTACGTACGGGAATAAAATGAAGTCATTCGGTGCCAAGTCAGGACTATACGGCGGATGACTCATCAAATCGATGTTTTGGGTGCTCAAAAATGCAGTTGTTTGAGCCGATGTGTGAGAGCTCGCATTGTCGTGGTGAAGAGTGATCCGTCTTCGGCGGTTGGTTTTCCTGATTTCTTGGAAGACAACTGGCAAACAAATGGTTGTGTACCACTCAGAATTAACTGTTCTGCGTTGTTCTAGTGGTACGGTTGCGACATGTCCAGTTTTTCCGAAAAAACAGGCGACCATTTGCTTGGAAGTGCTTCGTGCGCGAACAACTTTTGTTGGATTTGGCTCATCTTGAAACACCCATACAGTCGACTGCTGTTTACTTTCGGGCTCATACGCGTAAGTCCACGATTCATCACCTGTCACGATGTCATAGACGTGTTTCGAAGCACCGCAATCGTATTTTTTGAGCATTTCTTTCGACCAATCGACATGAGCCTTTTTTTGAGCGATTGACAAATTGTGTGGGATCCAACGCGAACAAATTTTTTTGACAGTCAAATGTTTATGCAATATTGAATGTATGCTGGTCCCACTAATGCCTAAGGTTGTCTAAATCTCACGATAGGTCACATGACGATCTTGCAATATCAGTTCGCGCGCAGCATCAATGGTTTTCGGAACAACAACTGATTCTGGACGACCTTCACGAAATTCGTCTTGGAGTGAACTACGACCACGATTGAATTCACCATACCATCGATAAACACTGGTCCTTGATGGAGCTTCATCGCCAAAAATTGAATTAAGTTCATCCATGCACTGTTGCTGAGTTAATCCACGTCGAAAGTTGTAAAAAATAATCGCACGAAAATGTTCACGATTTAATTCCATTTTTGGGCCGACATGAATCTTTTAAGTTACTGTAAACAACACAAATAGCGCTCGTATGTCAAAACGTTCTGAGTACGTATAACCTCAAAAATGTCCAACTTTACGATAGAGCTGTAAGTTGCCAGATTGCAACACTAGGGTTGCCAAATCCCGAAACATAAAAGGCAACCCTCGTAAAAACAAAATATTTTTTTGAATTACTAATTTAAAATGTGTTATGTCCACCTAGAGATGGGCAATGGGGTCTAATCTTAGCCGATATATCTTGTACATTCAATGTAAGATCTTATTACATTCTTATTAGTTTAATGTGGAATAATCTACTTCACCACCAATGCAATATGTACTTGATATAGAGTGTATCCCACCAGGAATTGCCACAATTGATATCTGGAAAATTATTTATTTGAAAAATTGCCTACATCACCTGAAATCTGCACAATTTCTGCACAAGATAGGCCAAAAAAATACAGAGTGTTCCATTTAAGTTAACTAAGTTATAACTCTTTGAAGTTATCAAAATGTATAGTTGAAAATTAAACACTCAGTATCATATTTTCTAATTTATGAATATTGTGTAAGGTTGTTCCATACGTGTTCTACTCACATACCGAATCTCAAATTGATATCTAATTGCTGGAATAAAATACAAAGGATCCCGTACAACCTTGCATCTGTCAAATTTTTCATAAAAATGTCAATGTCTCAAAATCTATAAATTTTAGGAACTAGGTTTGTCATACAAAGTGACCTTAAAATTTCAAGTAGAATCCCAAAATGCAAAAATATATAGGGTGTTCCATTTAAAATAACGAAGATGGCGTCGACTTCCGCTATAACGAGAAGTGCTATGACCTTGAAAATATTTTAATTGTGTTTACCCCATTGACTTTGATAAGTTGCCAAAATTTTTAATTTTTCAAATAAGTAATTTTCCAGATATCGATCATAAAGATTCCCGGTGGGATAAATAGATTTAACAATCCGCTTTACGAACATTTAGTTATATAGAATGCCATGGTTTATGGCCCTGGTTACTGCCAGTTACATACTTACCATGCACTTAACTTTAACTAGCAGTCAGGGCAAAGCTTTTGGAAAAACACCTCTGAAGATGCCGACAGTGAAGAACGATGAAACATTTGGAAGCATTCATCAGTTATAGAGGCTACTACGAAACGTCTCATTATCTCCGTCCGTAGCGATCTTAAAACCAACAAGAACCAAATTGAACATCAGAGCAAGCATAAAGGCTTTGATAGCAGGTCCGTCCCCACAGAACCTACCCCGAGAACGATAAGGACAGGTCAAAGGTTCCTAGGTAAGTCTAAGGAAGTGCAATGTAAGTCTGTAACTGTCAGGTACATAGACCAACAACCCGAAAAATCATCGCACTTTAAATATCAACATTAAAAACAAACGTATTTCTTTGAATTGTTTCCGAAATGTATTTTCATTATCTGAGTGTTTTTAACAAATGAGCACAATACACTATTAGGTCTTATCGAATATATTGTATTTTCATTTAGCTTTCAGGCTAAACCTATGCAACTGATAATAAATACTCAGACAATTAAAAAATATGATGAAATTTTATCGCAATCTAGAACTGAAATATTTTTTTAACCTTCAGATAAGGAATATATCAAAACCAAAGATTTTATTTTCATTTGATACTTTATA